TATGTCATGCAAAAAATAGATGCATGCAGTCTGTCAAATAACGTGTGTAATTTTTCACATTCCATAAGATCTTTTGTTCTTTGTTCTTTCTTTTGTTCTAATTTGTTCTGTCTCTCTCCATAATGGAGTCCTCTTACTTCTTGCTAAGGTCGAGTTTTATGAAAAGAAGGATGAGAAGGATTTAGCTGTGGGGACCTTCTAGTATGCAGTGATTTCTGTGAAATGAAAAAATACATGTTCATTGTTTTTTAGTTAATATTTCATATATTCTTCCTTATTGAAAGGGTCATGTTCTTGAAACACCCAATGGAAGATTTTCCTTTTTTCTGTGGTATCTAGGTAGACACAGCCAAGCGAGCTCTCCCATTGGTTAGGACTTTAGGAGTTGAACTGAAGGCCTAATGTATCAGATTAATCACTAATAAAATACAGGGAACTGACAGGGAAATCAATCAATCATGTTTTTATTTTTAGTTAGTGGGCCCCCTTTATTAAAGGAAAAACACACTATAGTCCTTCTGGATGTTCTAGATATGTCACTGACTGCGAATACAAGTGGTAGCCTGGCTGTTTCAGTCAGTTGTTAGAAATGGAAAACAGCAGCAGCAGCTCTGTTTTAAGGCTCTGCTCTGAAAGAGTCATTATAACTATAACTGCTACAAGGTAAAATACATGTTGATGTCTGTTAAAAGCTACAAAGAAAACATGAGATTTCTTTAACAAGCTTCAAATGTATGTGTTTAATCTAGAACGGATTTTCATGTGAATGGCCATTAGCATAGCATCTGTTAGCATTATCGTAAAGGTTTTTTTTTTTCTTTGTTTTTGACCTGAGTTTTGACATTTATGGCCCGGACTAAAGGCCTAGCGCTCACTAATAGTCACCATTTGCCACTGTAAATTAGTGCATCAATTTCCTCTAATCTTATGTTGTTTAATCAGTCTTGTGATCTTTTGTTTGGTTTTTCTTTCTTTCTCATTTGTTTTCTTGTGCTCTCTTGCTCAGGCTGCGCTGAAGAGAGCAGATCACCTGGAGGCTCTGTTGGAGCAGCAGAGAAAACAGCTGTTAGGGAAGTGATTGACAGGCCAAGAATTCATCCCTCCCCCATCCCTCACACTAATCTCCCTCTCCCCTCCACTGCCCATGGACATGGACTGGTGAGGACGGCGGCGGGGCTCAGGCGCACTTCTCCGTCCGTCCGGAGCAGCAGCGTCGCCTTTCCCGTGGGAACAGGAGCAGAACCGAGAGAGAGAAAGAGAGAGAGGTGTTTCTCAGCAGGAACTCGGCTAGAGAGGCCCTTTGTGTCGCTCTTCTACTCTTCTATGCCTTGTACTACACTATGGACTCCTCTTTACATCCAGCCTCACATAGACTAGCAGAGATAAAAAGACTTTAGGGGGAAAAGGGAGAGGATTTTTCTGTTGGAGACGCTTTCCCTGTGTGAGCACAGAGTATGAGTGGGGGTGGAAAAGCCCCTCTCTGGGTACAAAGACCTCAAGTAAGCACTTCCAGATGTTTCAAGCACTCTCCACTGTCCCTCCCTCCAGCCTCCCCAAGTGAATGTGCCGAGTTTTGCCCTTTTAAACAACAAGCTGCATTCTGAGAGCGAGTGAGAGAGAGCAAAGAGGTAGGGGGTTTGAAACCCCACTCTGTTCAGCTGTCAAATAATTCAGTTATTTATATTCAGATACTCTATTAATTGCAGTCTGTTACTCAGCGCAGCTTATGGTCTGTTTTTCTGTGTTTTTCTGTTCTGCATCCTCCCCAGCCCCCCACCCAACCCCAGGCATTCAGCTTCAATACAGAGAGAAAGGAACAGGGAGGGTGACCCCCCCCCATCTTTGTGTTACTTACAGATGCCTTTTGTCTCAGCCCCCCCTGGCTAGTACTAAATTGTGGGATCAGCCTTGAAGCCCATTGCACATATATGGATACACAAAGCCCTCATTACCAGCCCAATGCTGCTTCTGTAGTGTGTTATAAGCCAACGTAATGTTGTTTCTAATTGCAGAACTAATTTAAAGGGGAATTCCACCAATTTTTCAAAATTTCTGCACAATTCAATCGTTATGATGTTAACAAAGTCAGTCAAGTTAGAGTGGTTTGGTGTGAAATTCTTTATCCTAGAGAAAATCAGAGTCAGAATTGTTCACAGTGGTGCTGGTGGGAACCAGTCATCTTTAATGCCTCTAAAAGCTCCCTCAGAGAAGGCTATTATATAATGATTACTGACAAGTTGCCTGATGCCTGAAACACTGTTTCATGATGGTTTTGAGAGATAGTTTTGGCTTAAAATCCATTCACAGCAGATCGGTATATGCAGGGTGCTATATATTGTAAGGCAGAATAGTCAGCAAATATTTTTTCACATTTATCACTTCGTTGTAATTATGAACATTACATATAAAAACTCAGACCCAATTTTGGATCATAAATAAATTGGCTATAAATGCATTGTAAACATTGCGACCTCTTGTTCCTGTCATCACCACTGTAAATAAATCTGAGTTGATAAGTTTCCCAAGAAGGGGGTATTTCACATCAAACCACTTTGAATTACTTTTTGTGTTGAATTATGTTGGAATTTTTTTAAAAAAAAAGTGGAATTCCCCTTTTAATCTTGTTTGGATAGAATCTTTGGAACGTTGTTGGAGAGAGAAAGAAAAGGAATTTGTCTTTTGAGTAGTCCACAGATAGGTAGGGTTTTACAATAGGAGAACGTAGTACCCAGAGTAGTTTTGTTGGGTTCTATGGAGAGTGAGAGAGAATGCTTTAGGATGTGAGACGGATATGAAGAAAAAAGAAAGAGGGGTGGTGAATAGAGGAACGTGCATAGGAAGTGTTTATAGGATTAGGGTAAGCAGCGCTGGCTCGTATATAGTGGGCTTATGGGGGCCACAGAGTTAAACTAAACTATTGCAGTGCAGGTTTTCATAGCCAACACTAAAAGCCTTTCAGTTTCTCCATGCAATGTACACCTCTCACAAAGCCTGGAGGGGGTCTGGGACAGAATGCATTAAGGGGCTGAGGGCAGAAAGTCTGCTGTCCCTCCTTCTTCTTTCTCCTTCTTGTCTTTTGTTTGTACAGCATCAGCCTTGTAATGACGGATACCCGTCGACGAAACGTCCTTTCTTAATTTGGCTGCGTTCTGTGGAATGTACTCCGATTTGCCCTTTTGATTTGAACCTTTCCCATTTTTGAAAGGAGACTCTGTCTTATAAAAGCACCACTCAGAAACAGGAAAAGTGGCATCTTGTTTCTGCTCTAAGAGTCTTTTCAGCTCAGAAAACCACTCGCAAAGAAAGATCACACAGATTGTGACTAAGGGGAAGCTAGATGACCTTTTATTTGGGGATGTCCCAGGTTGGCCCAGATGCCCTAGATTTATATTAGATTGAATCTAGTTTCAACTTTGATGTTTATTGTAGCAGATGCTCTAGAAAGGCTGCCACTAAATGGAGCACAATGATGATGTAAGCAGGCCATAAGCAATTCTGTGCCTTCACTTTGATGAAAAGGCCACGTTTCTGACCTTACTGAACGCTGTACAGTTAGTACTGCTCACTTGTACCATTTTTGGATGGGTTTTAGTACGTCAGGTTGTTCTGATGTGTGTTGGTTAATAAATGATGATGTGCTTAAGCACGGTAGGGGTCCCAAAGTCTAAGACCACATAAAAAAATCTGGGTTTTTTTTTAATGAACAACAGAAGGTTGTTGGAAGTTAAAAGCATTTTGAAAATGTGAAACAAAGAAAAGTAAAATGAAGATGAAACAGTTAAGTTTCTGTACTATTACAGACCAAATTTAAGCAAAATTTAAGCAAATTTAAGCAAATTTCAATTTAAGGAAATTTGTTTTGTTTTTAGTCTCATCTCTTCTATTGAAATTGTTGACTCTCAGGTGGATTTGATTCAGATTCACTGAGATTCAGATTTTCACTAGTGATCTCAGACTTTCGGACCCCACTGAGTGAAAGAGGTGTTCTTCTGGTTCCCTGTTAGCAATTTAGCCGAGTCTGGGGACAAACTACAGGTGTTATTTTTCAGCGGCGTGAGGGAAGTAGCGCTTCCTGAAAAATCCATCAGCACACTGCCCACACACTGTTCGCTCACAGGAGACTGGTCTCCGTTAGCATTAGCATTAGCTAATAGAAATGGCACAGGGATCTAAAATGTGTTTTTTAGCCTTGAGGACTCCTGATGGTCCATGATGGAGCTACTAAAGGCCCACAAAGGCCTTTAATACCTGAGCATGTCAGTAGAACTTGGCATAAACTCAGTGAAAGAGGTTCATGCCAGGTTAATGCGAAGGTGAGGAGGAGTTCTGCACATATTTTCTGAAGGGTTCCAGTGGATTGGTGCCCACAAGCGTGGCAGCATAGTTGGCATTGCTGGTGCATGCCAGAACTACTCATGCCAATGAGCTCTTCTGTTTTTTGTGCTGTCTCTCATAGCCAAGCGCCGGTCGCCCCCTCATGCCATTTTCCCCTTTTTACTCTTTCCACCCTTTTATACGCCCAAAGACTAGAAGTAAGTATTGTCTGCTATCGGTCTTTCTGCTTTGTTGTTAATTTTATTTTGTATTATTTTTAATGATCTGTTGTTAGTATTCCTGTGTGTCTTTACTTGTAGCTCTTAATTATTCCATTGCGAGTTTAGTTGTTGTTGTTTTAGTCGTTCTGATTTAATTATGATTGTTTTGAAACTGTGAAATGAAAAGTCTTTGTGTAAAATAAATAAAACTAATTTAGATGACTCTCTTCGTCTGGTCTGTCTTGTGCCTGCGAAACAGAACAATCCTGCGTTTGTGCTTGCTCCCTAGCGTTTCTCTCTCTGAGGAGATCTCCGTGACTAATCATCTCACCCTCTCTCTCTCTCTTCCTCTCGCTTTGTTCTGCTCACTAATGGCAGCTGAGTTCGTTCAGTTCGTTGACTTTATTCCCCGTGGAAAGGGTCTGATGGCTGACTGTAGCCTCTAACTGTCTTCTCTTCACTATTTACTGCTTTGTATACATCTCTACGGTCTGCAACTGACCCACTTCTGAATACTACTGTTTTGTTTTTTTCTCCTTCTGGCTAGTCTTTCTCTCTCCTGTCCGAGCAGCAGAGATGTGTACATTCGTGGTTCTTTTCTGTAGGCTTTTTTTTTTCCTTTTATCTCTGCTTCCTAACTTCCCTCTTTCACTTTCCACCCCCCCACTTCTTTACAGCTTCGGTGGTCTTTGCAGCAGTGGCCAGAAAAGAGACCACAGACTGCATGTGTGAGGGTGGTGATTACAGTGCTGTATGTAAATGAGGGAGGCTGATAACAAAGCAGCCCCCCAGACACAACGGACCCAAAGTGTGCTAAGGGGGATTTCTCCATATTTAAATCGTTGAGATGCAAACAGAGTCCATCAGAGTGGTTTGATGTGACATTGTTTGTTGTAGAGAAACTTACAGGCTCAGATTTCTTTACAGTGGTGGTGATGGGGACCAGGCGTCACCATGTCTACAACACAAACATAGCCATTTTAACATACTATGCAAAATGACCAGTGGTATGCCAAACGTTTTATATCGTCACTGTTGTGCAAAAAGCTCATATTTCTAAAACTTACTTTACGTTTACTTACATTACTTTACTTCAGGTACTTTACAGCAGAAAGAAAAACTATTTTAACTTTAAATGGAAGTGAATGGAAAGTCATTTTGGAGTATATCTATTGATTTGTTTATCCTGCAATATTAGCACATTGTAGGGAAAGTGGAGATACAAAGTATTGTTGGTATTTAATGTTGATAATGTCAAAATGTATACCTTTTTATGGGACCTTAGAGCCCCTTGCATGTACCTTCCTGCTGCGAATGGATTTTTAGGCCAAAACTATCATAAAACAAAGACATCAGGCATGTATTCATAATCATTTTATATAAAACTTTGCTGTATTGTAGCTTTTAGAGGCATTAAACTCTGGACGTCTGGTTCCTATCACCACCACTGTTTTTCTACAACAGAGCACTTCACACCTAACCACTCTGAATGACTTTGTGACTTTGTCTACATCTAAGCAATCTAATCTAATAAGGCAGAAATTTTGAAAAAGCAGTGGAATTCCCCCTTAAGTCACCTTTTGAGTGTGGGGTCTTCTGTGAGCCAGACAGAGAGAAAACACAGGCTCAGGCATGTTGTCTGACGGATGATTTAGATGTTCCACATCTGATGAGTCTGGTGTTTTCTTTTCTTTTTTCCCTGCTTGTCCAGCTTCAGTGTCTGAAAACTATGTAGCCTACCTCCTCTTCGTGCCCTGCGCTCTCTCTCTCCCCTCCCTCTCTGGGGGGCAGGAGGTGGGGGCGTTGACCAACTGCCAGCAGCTGTTGCTCGTTTCACAAAAGAGGCCGCCCCTCCTGTGTCCTGTGTGTCAGCATGGGACTCGCAGTGTGTGCTTAGTTGCTGGGAGCCTACGTTTCCATAACCTTCCTATAGAAGTCTGTGTCTGACAGGAGTTTCCTCCCTAAGAAAAGGCAAGTTTTTTATTTATTTATTTATTTTTTTTTAATTTCTCTACCATTTTCTTCTCTTTGTCTCTTCCTCAGGGTGGGTGGAGTGATTTTCTTTACTTATTTTGTTAGAAAAAAGCAGTTTAGTCTGCTGCCTGGCTCTGAACAGAGATCATACTTTGTTTCGGCTCATCCGTAACTCTGTAACTTTGTGTCCTTTAAGGAACTTCACAGAAGTTTCCTTTTATCTGATCCACTTTCTTCTCAGCTTAGACAGGGTGAGCTCTGAGCTCTTGTGCTCTTGTGCATTACCATGGCTTCCTGTGGGAGGAGTAGTTTAGTTTGTAGTTTAAATCTACTGCACTGATGTTGCTGAGCCTCAGTCTTGGGGCGGTCCAGTCTTCAGGCTGCAGGGAAATCCGCTGGCCTGAACACTTCGAACACTTCTGGTCTTCTCGAATGCAGGCAAGTTTGTTTGTTTCACTGTCGCATTCTTCACATTCCACTCTAATATCTGGATCCTAAAAAAGGATGTCTAAGAATGTCTGGCTTGTTGTTGGCTGCATGTTCTCATTTCTTACTTTTGATATAAAAGTAGTACCGCAGTATGTAAAATCTTAGAGATTTCTCTTTATTTACATATTGGCTGATTATTAATGTCTGTGTTGCTATACAAACAGCAATATGGAACTTCAGTCTGGGATCATTCTACTGTTGCAGTGGTATAATAGTGTCCCGCAACTTTGAAGCCGTGAAAGTGAGTTCAAAATAAGAAGAAATCGAAGAACGTTGAGAACTGTCTTCTTTGTTCTATTCCAGAACTAACCAATGACAGTTCTTCTCTTTTTTAAATTTATTTGTGATTCATACTTGTGTATTTTAAAAAAACAGTACATCACAGCAGCGACATCACACATGCAGAAGTAGTACTTTTTGGTGAAACATTTTTACTTTTTAAATGACTCAATATTTTCTCATTTGTAACGCACTTTGAATGACAGCAGTGTATGAAAGGTGCTATATAAATAAGCCTGCCTTGCCTCGCTGTGGGAAAAAAACTTCAAATCTCCATTTTTGTCGTTTTTCAGTTTTTTTACATAATTTGAACTTGCCTGCTCAGCATACATATATATTGTGAGAATATATATATATATATAATATGTATATGTGTGTGTGTGTAATCTTAGATGTATATGTATATAAAATCTAATAAATATTAATAATTTTATATTTACTTAAGATTTGTTTTTGGTCAGTGCTGTTAGATTTCACAAAAGAAACAGGAATGTCTTTGAAATCTTTTGATATCTCAAAGGACGAAAGACTAACTCTGAGGATTCCCTGGTTAGTAAAGGCCTTTTAAAATACTGACAGTTTTCATTGTCACATTGAAAGAATTGTCAGTGGTGTTAGTCATTAAACATTAAGTGATTTTAAAATTGAAATAAAATGACAACATGAATGCAGTATGTCATTTTCTGCATACAGCATGGCAAACTAAAGTAGCTGTTTTATAAAGCTCAGATTTCAGTAATTTTGTAAGTGGTATTACAGTCACAACTTGACTGATGTTCTGTATAACAGATATTATATATATATATATACATATTATATATATATATACATATAACGTTTGCCTTCGCAGTGGTAGAATGATCCGCATGTATGGCAGCAACACTGGTGTTTCCAAATAGATTACTGTCTAAGCAGTAGACTGATTGCTAAAAGGCTGCTTTAAATCCATGATTCAAATGTGTACATTGGCTCAACATGAATGAAATGTTACATGAGCATAATTACTTGCAAGTACTTAGTTTAACTTTAATTAACTTAAACTTATTTTAAGTCAAGCTAACAGATTTAATTTAACCAAAGTACACATTTTAATCATGTAAATTCAACTTATTTTGTCCAGTATAACTGTTAATGTCAGTTCTTTCATATTAATGACCAGTGTCAACGTCAGGGAAAGCTTGACAAAACAAGATTGCTTCATGATAGAAAATCATCTTGTAATATTCAGTAAAGATGGAAATTAAGATGAGTGTGTGAATGAGGTGTGTCTGTGAAACAGCTGCACAGTCAAACAAATGTTTTCTGATTGAGTCAGGCTTTTTTTTAATCACACAGTTTGAAACTGTGGTTTTGTGAGTAGCGGATGACCACCAGGGGCGGTTGTTACCAAATGCATGATTCACTAGCTGTGCCAGCTCCAGACCGAGAAAGTGTGCCAAGCCGTTACCTCTCGACACCAGTGTGTGACATAGTCAAGCTTAGGTATACTTGAGTCACACTGCAGTCTTCCTACAGAACCTGGTCTCCTCACAGATTCTGAGTGACAAGGAAACGTGGCGGTCATACACTACTTACAGAACCATGGTTACATAGTGTTATGTTTTGTATCCCCTGACCATCAAGTTCTTACCAAATGGATGGTTTGTACACACAATGACACAAGGAGTGCCTCAGCTGCTGCCCGTACCCAGGGACAAAACTTCTGGTACTAAGCTAGTTGACGCAACAACATTGACATGTTAAAAGTGGGAGAATGTGCACAGTGACAACCATGTGGCCACTGCACAGATGTCCACCAGAGGGACACTTTTCAGGGCAGCCCAGGAGGTGGGTATGCCCCTAGCGGAATGTCCAGTGGCTGGTGCAGGTAGGGAGTGGCCTGCAGCCTTATACACCAGCTTGGTCACATCCACTAGCCAATGGGAGAGCCACTGCTTAGGGAGCAGCAAACCCCATCTTAAAGCAAAGAAATGTACAAACAACTGCAATAGCTGTAGCAGTGACAGGTCTTCAGAGCCCAAACTAGGCACAGTTGGTTCTGTCTGGGATCAGACTGGTCTGTGTAAGCTGTGTAACTGATAGACCGATAGGTCTCCACAAAACATATGCATCATCCAGGCCCCCTGGAGACACATGGGGCACGTAGAAAGTGCCTGTAGCTAACAGACATAGCCTGATCCAGGGGTTCAAAGGGCATGTAACACAGGACGTCCAGCACTAAGGGGGGTTCACATGGTGGTGCCCTAAGTGATACAAGGTAGATGCAATCTCTTTGCTCCCTTTAGAAAGGCAGTCACCAGCCCAAAGAGGAGCCCTCGGGGATGGCCAAATAGCTCACCAAGGCTGCCATGTAATCTTTCCGGGTAGAAGGGGTTTTTACCTTGTCAACCAGGGACTGCAAAAAGAAAAGCACCACTTCGGTGGTGCACAAGAGCTGGTCTATCTGGCTGTTCAAACACCAGTTGGTTAACACCTCCTTCTACCCTTGTATAGAGCTCAAATAGAGGGGGCTTTCTAACCTCCTGGGAACATAATGTCAGCTTGAGGGCCACAGCCATAGCTGGAGATGTTATGGGCATGGATGCCGTACCTGACCCCTCAGCTGAGAGATGAGGCCCCTGTCCATGGGGAGTTCCATGGAACCCCCTGCTCCAGAGGCAACAGCAGAGGAAACCAGGGCTGAAATGACCATCGAGGGGCCACTAGGATGCATTGTTGCTCCATTCAGACTACAGTGGAATGAGGGCAAGTGTAGGAAAGGCATACTGCAGTTTCCTCAGCCACTTTTGCTCCAGAGCATTCTGACCCAAAGGGCTGTCCTGGACTTCCTGGGCTCTGAAAATCACAGTTGGCAGTGGGATGTGTCCGATGAGGAGACCAGGTACACCCATGTATCTCTGAGCTGCTGCCTGTTCAACCAGACCACATCTGGGTGCATTTTCCAGTGCCTGGGGTTCAAAATGTGGTGTGAGAGACCGTCCACCATCTCATTGGTGTTACCTGCTAGGTGTGCGGCTCTTAAAGAGAGAAACCTGGGGTCAGCCAATGTCCATAGGTCCCATGCAAGGTTCAGCAGAGTGCATGACCTGGTGCCACCGTAGTGGTTCATGTGATGAAACTGCAGACAGGTTGTCTGAGCAGACCGGAACATGTTTCCCTTGCAGGGCTGGGAGAAAATGTTCTAGAGCTAGTTAGACTGCCTGCTGGGTGCCTTGCACCCATCTTTGTTGCCAGACAATGGCCCATCCAGTGGTGGATGCGTCTGTCGTCACCACTTTCCTACATGAAGGAATCTGCCCAATGGCTACACCAGTGGACAGGAACACAAGCAAGCATCTTGGTCTCAAGGCTGACAGGCTGTCTAAGGAAATGTGCACTCACCTGTGACGCTGTGGGTCCAGCATAAGACTTTTCAGTCACATCTGGAAAAGACAGATGTGGAGCATTCCTAGCACAACTTCCTGTACAACAGCTGTGAGTAAGCCCTGAAGCCACAGTAGTGTCAGATATGGCACCTCTGAGCCCAGCTTAAGGCGACAGATAGAGGACAGAATCACTGGAGCTCCTGGAGCAATCCGAGGCAAGACAGGTATAAATCATGGCCGTCCTGCGGCTCGAGAATGTTTGAGCAGTGAGTGCAACTGCCCTGGAAGAACATGTTTTTAGCCATGGAAGTGTCAGAGGCTGCCCTACGCAACTGCAAACCTAATAAGAGGAGGTTTGAGGTGTAGCTGGCATAAGCTAATGGAGACGTCGTAGCCCTGTTGGAGCCCTGTTGGAGCCCTGTTGTGGAGCCCTGGAGCCCTGTTGTGTAAGTGGCTGCTTCGGCTAATGCATCGCCCAGAGACACGCTTACCTCGCATGGATTTTGAGTCGAGTGGGCTTGTCTTCTTAAAAGTACTGCGTAGCTAATAGTGCTGTTAGCTGAAGCTAGTGCTGTTTGAGGAGGGCCAGTGATCTGTAACAGGAGCCGAAGCTCGAATTGTAGTGGCAAAACTCTGTGGAAGGTCTGCTGTTTTCAAGTTCCACGAGTCCAAAAGGTCAGCAAAGAAACAGTTTCCGAAGCTCCGACAAAGTCAGTGGGTTGCATTGAGTTAACAACTTACTCTGTCTAAGGAAGTGAGAAAAGAAGGAGGAAGACTGTAGTGTGTATATATAAGCTTGACTGTGTCACACTCTGGTGTTGCAGTATGATTGTTTGATACTTTCTTGGTCTGCAGCTGGCACAGCCAGAGAACCATCCACTTGCTAAGAAAAGCGCCTGGCAGTCAGGAGATATAAAACATATAAACTCATGTTAGCAATGGACAGTCAGTCATGCGCAAACAGTCTTAACTAGTAAAGGATAATGGCATCTCATAGGCTTTGTCAAATCTGCGCAGTGCTCACAATTTAAACCACCGGAAGTAACTTTAAGGGCTGGTTTTCTGGACTGTGGTTAAAGGGAAATTCTACTGATTTTTCCTTTTGTAATTAAATGTTCGAGACAAAATTGTTCACAGCAATGATGATAGGAACCCAATGTCCGAGGAGTTTAAGGCCCTAAAAACTCCCTCACAGGAAGTTATTTCATGAAATTTGCTGTCTGATGCCCAAGGCATTGTTTTACCATAGATCTGAGATAGAGTTTTGGCCTAAAACGTTTTTTATATCCATACTGGGCAGAGGTGTACATGCAGGATGTTGTAAGGTAGTCCCTAATAGTCCCTAAAGGGGGCATATATTTTCAGATTTACCATTTTACCTTTATAAACATTACACACAAAAACTCACATGCAATTTCACTGGTTATGAGCTCAAATGTAAAATGGCTATATTAGTGTTGTAGATATTGTGACCCGTGGTTCCCATTACCACGACTGTAAGAAATAGCAGAAATTCAAATGAGGAAGTGTTTTTTGAAAAATCAGGCCTAGTGCTGAACAGCAGTCTGAACTGAGGTTCACCCAATGAAAGAAAAATGCAGTTACGACTATAGGCTTAATTCCTGTGCTGGAAGCTGACTCTAGAAGTACTTTATTACCAGCCCAACTTTCTTTTTTCCCCTCACTTTTCACTTCCTTCTGTGCAAGCACTCACCATGCCTCCCTTTTTCTTTGCTCTCTCCTGAAATTACTGTCCTTTAATCAAGAGCTGAAACCCCAGAACTTAAACACACACTAGGAGAAAAAAGAAAAGAGCCAGGCCCCTTCTCCTGTTGCGCTGTTCCCAGCTCTGGAGCCCTTTAATTAAAGCTGGATTACTGAGAAGCGCACTATAGAAACAGCCATACAAATCTTGACGCTCTTCTGTTCTTCTGGTTCTCCTGTGCAGAGCAGTTCGTTGTGCTGGGAGAATTGGCCCTTTGGGTGTTGACAACAGTGCCTGGGAATTAGAAACACTCAGGATCCCTGCCTCAATGCTTCTCATGCGAGTCCTGAATGATCATCTGGAGGGCACTCCTTCAGTACAGCTCTCCTCATGTCCCCGTCGGGTGGTCAGGAGTTAAGAGGAGCCGTAGACGGGACAGGTCAGAGGCCAGGCCAAGATGACAGGCTTCCTGCCCCAGAGGAGACTGATGCTCCTGTTCCTGCTTTTGATTCTTGTTCTGGGGATCTACATGCTGCATGCAAATATGGACATGAAGCGGGGGCTTACAGATGACCAACGCATTGTCCAGGATCACAACAGGTAAGGACAGACCCCAGGCCACACAAAAGAAGCACATTTAAATGTTATTGAATGGGTTCAACATACAACACATTGTCAATGCAACACATTGTTAATGCCTGATTATCCATAGATAATTAACCCTTGTGTGGGGTTCAGGTCTGTGGGACCCATTTTCAATGTTTACCAAAAGAAAAAATGATGGGATTTATTATTATTTCAACCCCAGATTCCTTGGCCTTTTTTCATTTTCTGTGAAGAACATATTAAATAACCCATTTTCAGTGTCTTCACTCTGTTCACCCCCCACACATTTATATTACGTGGTGTTGGGTGAACCTGCAGGGAATAAAAGTGTGGAGGTGCTGTGTCCTTCACTCTGTTCTCCTCCTACATGGCCTGCTGTTAGTCTGTGTCTGTGTCTGTGTCTGTGTCTGTCTGTGTCTGTGTGTGAGAGGGTGGACAACATTTTCAGGCTGCTGACTGGCTACAGCTGCTAAAGGAGAACCCTACGCTAGCCACTTGTGATATTTTAAACATCTGGCATTTTTACATCAATTTTTATGGCTGTATTGGTTTAAAGAACCAATAATGCAGTGGGTCCACCAGACCACTGAGTAACAAACACATCAGCACCAAACAAGGGGTAAATAACTTAAATGACTGGTCATGTAATCAAATCATGGGAATACGTAGTTGGAAGATGGGGGAAATGTGTTAACAGGTGTAAAACTTTACTTTTATGGTTATTTATACTTTCAAAGTTCTTCACACATCTCATTAATTAAAGTGATAATTAAAGCAATTCTTTAAAGCACACATAGGGAGCTCAAGTCCTGGAGGGCCAGATTCCTGCACAGTTTGGTGTTTTTCCTACTTACAGCTGATTCAGCTCCTCAGCTAATTACCAGGTTAAGTTGGTGCACTAGAGCAGGGGAATCACCAAACTGAGCTGAACTCTCTGGTCCTCAGTTCCCCACGCCTGCTACAAAGAGTCAACCAATGAAAGGTTCTTTAGGGAACCAAAAGGCTGTTTTTGTTACCATTTTTTTTTAAAACTCTAAATGCATAAAGCATAAAGTAAACTGTACTTTACAATCATGTGCAGAAATTTTCAGAACACTCCCTGTTCAAATTATGTGTGAAAATAAGGGAACACACGTAAATATGTCCATTGCACTGTCCTGCAAATGTTACTGCAAAATTATGATTTTTTTAATTGGGTGGAAAAAAGAAACTAAACATAACATATAAAATGTGCCATAACTTTTGCACAAGCCACATTGTTTTCCTTCCCCAGTTTGTTGAATTTAGTAAATAAAGAGTAAACAGTTTTTGCATTAAAATGTGCTCTGTGTAGAGGATGTGTTCACTTATCTTCACCTTATATATCAGGAAAACATGTCATTTGACTAGTGCTGCCTTTGTGCATACAATTGTTTCTTGTTTGAGATGTCTGAGTTCCCCTCTAATGAAGGAAGTTTGATTCTCTGTGGGTCTTTTTTTTTAAACTCTTGCTGCTGTTTGTGTGAGGCAGAGACTACCATATTCCCAGGCTGGTAGAGCACGTAGACTGCCTGATGCCTGTGTGAGTAAGTTCTCTCCAGAGAGGATCATGCTTCCTGCTGTAGTAAACCCCCCAGCATGAAGTCATGTTGAAGTCAAGAACAGCCGTGCTGGATTCTAAGTACAGTATCCATAAGCACAGTAAATGAAATCATTTTCTGTCCTCGTCTTAAGAACCTAAACCAACGTAACCAAGGTATGACTCGAGTGCCTCAAGCCTTTATTAAACCGAGTCATTTTGGTTTTGGCAGCGTGCCCTTGGGGAGCATTACTGCGCCAGCTAGCACATAGCAAAGTGCTTAGTCACCGTGGTAGAGGCCTACCAAAAGGACTCCTCTACTAAACTTTGGTCTGAACCGAATTGTGTTTCGGTGTCCAGATGGTGTGCTAAGACCTCTGAATGCTGCTTTGATTATTTATTTTGGAATCTCATTAACTTTATCTGGTTATTCCAGGACATTGCTTTGAGGTTAATTTGTATCACCGTCCTTTTTTTAATGGCACACCTTCATTTGCTCATGTTATGCTTGTGCTTTTTCCTTGGTAGAAGTTTAACAGCTGTTAGTAACAGTTTAAACCTGACTGTGTGGTCATTTGCTATGTTTTAAAGAGAGCCTCTTTGAAAAGTCTTTACTGTGACTGACACTTTTGTTCCGTTTTCAGATGGAAAATGTTCCATTTTTGTTGCTAGAAAACAAAAAGAGTGACGTAGTTTATGAGCATCAGTACTTAATAATGTCATTGCAACTGCAAGACTGAGGAAAAATGTACTTGTAAATGAACATGAACATGTTCACAAACATTTCTCAACTTTATCTTTGAATTTTTCATATACAAAAACTGAATGTTCACTGTATCTCAGTGCTGTGTGAAATATGTGTCTAGAAATGATCCCTGTTAGCCAGTTTCCACTAGAGTCATACTTGGTAGGTGTAATTAATGAACAAATAAATGGGTTCATTAACTTTGTATGCTTGGTTGCATTTTCCATGATGATCACAGATAATCAGTGAGCATCATTAATCATGTGTTAATGCATTAATAATTCTGGGAGGTTCAATCTGTTATAGATTCATCTTGTAAACAAGTGAACTATTTTTGGACATATCTAACTCACATTTTGCAATGCATTTTTCACATATATGCATAAATGTATTCCTTTGTAGAACATGATACTGCCAGCGGTTGATGATATGGGCAAGGATGTTTTGTACAGAGTTTTTGTAAAATTCAAACACATTGAATGAAGTAACGCAAGCCAAGTTTTTAGGTTGGATGAACAAAAGCAATATTTTACATCAGTTCAAACTCCAAAACCACGTCAGATCAACTCCAGCCTTTCTCCACTTTTTACAACGTAAAGCGTGACTCAAGTCATGTGACAGTTCCCGTGGTTACGTTCATTGTAGGTTCATGTTAGAGGTTACTGGACACGGAATAAGGCTTCTCAGGATCTCTATCACTCTAACAAATGGTGATTCACCCTGTCCTAAACAATTAAAGTGTAAACAAAGTCATTTAGAGTGGTGTGATGTGAAACGCCTGGCACTAAAACTCCCTCACAGAAACTTAGGTAACACTTTATTTGGATGCTGTAGATGCTTTGTAAACGCTCAGTATATCCAAGTAATATTCAACTAAATATCCATTAATTGCAACTGTACTACAAGTTCAGTGTGAAAGAGTTTATTAAATCTATTCTTAACTTCAACCTCAAGGCAAAACCTACATCTACTCCTAACCCAACCATAATGTTGTTGATAGTCAACTGAACATCACCAGACGGTTTGTTAATGATTTAAGTACCTGTAGAGCATCTAAAGGGAACCATCCAAATAAAGTGTGATCGAAACGTATTACATGAAATGATTCTAAATACGCTGCTTGATGCCTGAGACATTGTTTTGCAGTAGTTTTGAGAAGGTTTAGGCTTAGCCTGGGTAAATCCATGTTGGTACTTATGAAGACTTGTGTAGGTTCACTGGGGGTTTTGGTGCTTTTGCAACATTTACACCATTTATTAATAGGTCATTAAATTCTAAGTCTGTTTTTCTGTTGTTTGAATAATGTTCAAATAAAGCCACTGTGATTTCTTGTAATTTTACAGTCACTGACCAAGACACAGAATGTGGCCTGTGCAAAGATTATGGCTAATTTTGTTTTGATAAAATATTAAACTAATGCAATAAATAGAAATTGTGCACTTTAATTAGCCAAAAATGAGTGTTCCACAAACAACAACATTTATTTGTATAGTGCTTTTTACAACTAGTGTTATCTCAAAGCAGCTTTATAGAAAAGCAGTTTATAGAAGGAAAACAGTTTATGGAAGGGTTATCAAAAGAATAAAAAGAAAATGTCATTTATGTCGTGTTCAAACTTTTGCATATGACGTGCATATTTATGCCTTAATGCTTGTTTAGCACTTCAAACTAAACACCATGAAAAACGCCTCACTGACCAAGCTGCTTATTTTTAATACTTTTAGGTTGCCTGGCTCCAAAGATGACAGCAACAGCTCCTTGGATTACTGGCCAAAGCATGATTTGATAATTGCAAGACAAGAAAAGCAAAGGAAAGACACACAGTCAAACACCTTACAAACTGTAGTGCGAACTTCCTCGCAGCAGAATCTAAACTCTTCAGATTCTGAAAAAGTGGAGTCTAACCTCACCAAAACGTCAGAGGAACTTATCAAACAAGCCAAACCCACACAGCCAGACTTCTTCGGCGACAGATATGCAACTGATGATGTTCCGCTACAAACAGTAAGTCTTTCTACTTTCACTTTTAGTTTGAGGCTGAGGTTGTGCTGCTGTTTGTTTTGGAAACACTGATGTCCAACATCTGTTTGTTTTTCTCATACCTAAGAGACAAACAGTATTAGGTATCTTCTTTTGTGTGTAGACCAAACAAGCTTGAGGTACTATACAAGTTTGCTCTTGTTCTGTTTTTGATTTTATCTCATTCAAAGGGTTACCAGTTATAGTTGTATGCACAAGTATGAGCTCCTGGCCAAGTTAACATATTTTGTTACCAAGTAAATACTTGGTAACCCCCCTTTGGTAGATATCAGAGCTTGGGAACACTTTTTATAGCCTGCTAGGAGTCTTTTTGTTCTTGTTTTAGGAATTTTCAACCACTCTGCCTTGCAGAACGCTTGTAGTTATGCAATATGTTTGGCTTTTGGTGTATTTTGAGGTTTGTTTTGGATACGTGTTCTGTTGTAGAAGCCTCTTTTCAGTTTCAGTTTGTGACTGTCACATTTGCTTGAATGTTGGTTCAGTACATTGTGCAGTACACACAACCCCAATGCATAATAAATCCACCTCATGCTTAACAGTTATTAAGGTGTTCTTTTCATCAAATGCTGCTGCTTCTTTTTTCCTACAAACATACCTTTGGCGATTGTGACCATTTTTACTTCATCAGTTTACAGTGCTCTACCAAAATGCCTCTAGCTTATCTACATATTTCAGACATTAACTTTTGTGATGAGGTCACAGGTAAAGTTTGTGCATCACTCCTGTGTCAGATAAACCTTCTTATAGAGCCTTTGCTGCCATATGGGGGTTTTGCTTTGCCTTCCTGGCCAGCATGTGAGCAATTCAATATGACAGTTTTCTTGGTCTTCCAAATCTTGCCTTGACAGCCACAGTTACCTTTTAACTGCCATTGTTATTGACATTTTAGACGGTATAAATGATGAGCTGGAAGCACTTTGACATCTTTTTATGGCCTTTTTATAGTTTGCTGCAGAGGTTGTGTTAACTTCTTTTTTGTTATCAACAAAATATGTAATTTGGCCAGGGGTGCACAAACTTATGCATGCATAAATATATTGAGATCCATCACTAATACCTCCTAGATGGTCCAAAATGGCTTGGCTCAAGCTTATATGACCCCATTGTCAGAAACTCTAGGATTAGGATTGTTAGGAAAGGTGAGGGGATATTACACAGCCTTTTAAATGATTGGCTTTGTCAGAAGTTTGTTTACACAGGTGTGTCTAATGTTTGGCATGTATGTCATAATTTTGACCTGCTGGAAACAAACTAAGGAATTAATCATTAGAATATGGAGTAAAAACATTCTCTGCAGTGTTCACTAATGCCCCAGGGGACCATACCAGGGAGGTGAATTTCAGACACTGCATACACTTCAGACACTGATGTGTTAAGTATCCTGTCATGAAGTGGCATGTTGGAGGGTCAGACATTGAGGTTTCTGTCTGGACGTCTTTACAGGACAATAAAATTGTGGCAAACAGATGGCTGAGTTATGCCGAAACATACAGCTTACCAACTATCTATATAGCCCCCATAAACTTATCATCCCTGTACTGGTCTGTTGGTTTATACAGTCGTTAACTCCACCCCAGTGTATTTTTCTCCATGTACAACATCATTTAAAATATAGTGCATATTTGCAAATTTTCTAGGGCAGGGGCGTGCAACGCAATAAACAGATAAGTCATGTGTGTTTGAGCTGGGAAATGGCCAAACTTTGCTGGACACCTGGGCACCAGGAGTTCTAGAGAAGTAACCAATGAATGGCACCTGTTTCACTGATATCATATCACTGTTTCATAAAACCATAAAGCAAATACATGCATATTCAAGCCTTGGCCTGTTATTATGAATTTCTTCTTTGTTAATGAATGAAACTTGTACATCCATTTGGACCAAATAAGGTGGGAATTCTGACCACATCTGATTAAATTGGACATCTTCCAGTCGGCCTGAGCTCAGATTTTCACTGTCAGTGGAAAAGAATGTGCTGGCATCATTCACTGACCAAATAAAAGCAGTGCAAGCCTTAGAATTTCTACAGAGTTTTTTGCTCAGACACTTCATGATGCCACTGTACACAAGATCTAAATTATGGTAGAACATACAAGATATAAAATATTGAACAGTAAAGGTGATGTCAGAAGAGATAGCAAATAAAAATGGCTGGATATCAAGAAGATAGCTATAATAATAGATATCGAGAAGACAGCTATTATAATATCTAATAAACTGTCTATTATCCCTGTTGCATAACTGTATAGATTTATGAATTTAACCAAGACAAATAACACTAAGGTGCTTTTAAGACGCTCATTGGATGACTGGAAACTGACTTTGCTGTTATTTAAACTCCTCTTATTTTAGCAATAATGTAGCCTCATTTCTCAAGTGAGTATTACTACAGATTGAAGCACAAATTAAATGACTCCAGATTACTGCTATTGTGAGATGGTATTATTTATGTTCCAACTCATTAGTAATAGCTGGTTTGTGTAAAAGTGGCTTTAAATTTCAAATACTAAAAAAAGAATTATGGCTATATTAATCAAATATCTAAAAATAGTCATAAAAAATCTAGATTTATCCAGAAAAGCCTTGCTTATGTGGCTTCTGACACTGCATGTAGCAGTTGTAGCTGCCGTATTAAAGATGAAGTTTGTATGTCTGTGTGCAGCTTGCTTTCCTTATTGTTGTCCAATTTTAGGGACGTGTTCAATTAAACATTTTGCTGAACTGAATTTGTGTTTAACTGATACACACACTACTTTATTATGCATTTCAGAGCTGTCCCAGTAGCATTCGTAGAAAGGTGTCTCGGACTCCCTTTGCCGAAAAATTTCTGGAGAATGTGCCGGTTCTGCAGTGGGCCAAGCATTTTTCAGAGCAAGAGTACCAGCGTTTAAGCCGCTATCCAGGAGCCCATGGATGGGGCAGTGTAGATATGGATGGTAAGTCCTCTTGCTACATGTTGAGGTGTTTGGGTGGGTGGTTGGTTGGTTGGTTGGTTGGTTTATTTATTTAATTATTTATTTTTCTTATAATTGGAAGGTGATTATTGAATTACTTTGATGTTACTATTTTACATATTTTTATGTATACTATTTTACAACCCAGTATTCTAACCAAAAGTATGTGCAAGTGCAAAGTCCACTGTACTGTGGTGCCAGTCTAAAGTTCCTCCAACAAAAGTCATACAACCCTGTTTCCATAAATGTCAGGACACTGTGCAAAACCAATATTGGCTGGCTGTGATCTTCAGGCCCTCAGGTGGTGCTGCATTGAAAACAGACATGATTCCATGTAGTGGAAATCACTGCATGGGTTCATGAACACTTCCAAAAAAAGTTAAAACTCTACCATGCAAAGAAGAAATCATATATAAACAGGATCTGATGAGGTAAACAGGAAAAGTCTCCTGTGGTCCAAATCATGGACGACAAGTCCTCAGCGCTAAAGAGGAGAGAGACCATCTGGCTTGTTATCAGCACTCAAAATCCAGCATCTGTGATGGTATAGGGGTGCATTAGTGCACATGGCATGGGTGACTTACCCATCTGTAAAGGAACCATTAATGCTGAACAATATATACAGGTTTTGCAGCAACATGTGCTGCCATCCAGATGACGTCTTTTTCAGGGAAGGCCTTGCTTACTTCAGCAAGACAATGACAAACCACATTCTGCACTTACTACAACAGCATGGCTCTATAGTAAAAAAGTCTGGGTGCTAAACTGGCGTGTCTGCAGTCCAGACCTGTCATCCGTTGAAAACGTTTGCCGCATTATGAAACAAAAAATACGACAAAGTAGACCCCAAACTGTTGAGCAGCTGAAAACCTATGTCAGGCAAGAATGGAAAAACATTTTACTTTCAGAACCACAGCAGTTGGTCTCCTCCATTCCCAAACGCTTCCAGAGTGTTGTTAAAAGAAGAGGCCATATATTTTTCAAAAACGAATAAAATTTCTCAGTTCCAACATTTGACATGTTGTCTTTGTACTACCTTCAATAAATATCAGGTTTAAATGATTTGCGCATCACTGCATTCAGTTTTTATTAACATTTTGCACAGCATCCCAACTTTTTTGTAAATGGGGTTGTAGAGATTTAAGACATGTCTCAAAGTGAAGAGAGGCACTGATATTTTAAGGGCTCCTCTTCATCGTTCACTCACACACATTCAAGCAGTCTGAGCTGGCTTTGCTGTCGTCGTGGCTTTCTGATGTAAGCAACGTGACACATTTAAATCCTATGCATGAGAATGTTCAATTAAAATGTACATTTCAGTGTGACCTCTCACGCTGCAGCATCTCACCACATGCAGTCGTTTGTGCCATTTTCCAAATAGTTTTGCGCCACTTATTACAGGCGGTGGGTGACTGAAGGTCTATCAGAAATGAAGGGTACATTCCTCGACTGCATTTAAAGGATCCTACAAAATGGGTCAGGCTTCAGTGACATAACATCTGAGAAAGCTTTGTGTCAAAGCTTTAGTGAATTTCTCATATGAGGCTGCCGTTCTACTTTGTGTCTAGAACTGTAGTCTTTTGCAAGTGCTCCAGTTTGTGACAAAGGGTGGAGCAGCCTTCTTCCAGAGGCCTTATGCACCAGCTTAGTCATTTCAACATCACTCATTGAGCCCATGCTGCTAAATTTTGCGTGACCTGTAGTCACATGTTGCGCCACTGGTTTTAGGCTTACCTCTTCATTGCAGCTCAATCACACACTGAAAAAAAATCCCTCACATAGTTACGGAAGCAAAGAAGACTGCACTGCATGCTTGATATTTCTTGGAGGTACCTTAAAGATGCACCGTTACTGAACATTTCTAACACATTGAATTCTCCTCTGAGAGTTTATATTTTACACTTATAGCATATCTGTGGTTTTATTTACCGAAAACACTCATTCATTTTTACATAATGAACCTTATAATAATTACAGAATACCTGAGTTTCACAATCCTTTCAGTATTAGGTTATAATTAGGGTAGACTGGCTTGGACACTGTGTGATTTGGCAGCTGATCTCACATCATTTAAAAGCTCCTAGCAGCTGATCTTCAGACCAGATGCTGTCTGCAGCTGACACTCTCTCAAGACCTTAACTGGGCGATTCAGCAGGAGAGGAACATTCAAGAAACAGGGCTTAACCTGTGATGGCTGATTTATTTGACAGTTTAGTCTTGGGAGTAACTGCTTTTCAGGGTAAATGAAAACTGTACATATGTAAACAAGGGTTTGGCCAGACTTCATCTTAACTCTCTGTTCTGTTATCGTGCGTGCCAAAAGCCAATATTGATTCTAAAGAGCTAATATTATGATATTATTGAATTGCATGTTTTGACATGTTTACAGTTCTGAAGAACTCGCTGGCCATCTTAAACACTTCAGCCAACCGCGTGATGTTTGATGACTGGGAGAGAAGAAGGAACAGGTCGCAGTGTATCCGCTGTGCTGTAGTGGGGAATGGGGGAATCCTGAACGGGTCCAAGAAAGGCCGGGAGATTGACCAGCACGACTATGTCTTCAGGTGAGATGTCCTAAAATCTTTTTAGGAAGTCTAAGTGGTCTTAGTCAGCACTGGCTGACCTACATATGTCAGTTTGGTGTATGTAGTTTCATTACAATGTAGTTTGTAATATTTTTTATTTATTTATTTATTTATTTTTTATTAACCTTTTTATGGCTTTTAGGGAAGGTGGGTTTACTTACTGGTCGAAGAAATATGTAACATAAAGGTGGACCGCATATAATACAGGCACAAACTACACAAGGTAGAAAATTAAACTTGAAAAATCATCACAACTTTTTTAGTTCATTCAGACATGCAGGTCATCTAAGGCAATCCTAAGAAGTTCTCAGCGACAAGAAAAAAGGGTTTCTATGTAGTTTTATTTTGTTCATTTTCTCAGACATTTGGGGTGTGAGAGTAGAGATAAACGTAGCAAACAATGAAGACACAGTAAAGCTGATGGTAGCAGGGGAACAATGGATAAAACAAATATGCAACGAGACGTCCACTGTCTCAGTCTTATACACACATTAATAAACACACAAACAGAAAGCACTAAATCACTGTTGCTCCAAAATGCTCCTGAGAAATGACTGCTTGCTGTTGTCTCCCATTAACTATGCTTTGCAGTTCTCACTTCATTTACATTATTGATGTCACATGATATTTTACAGACAACGACATTAAAGTGAAATATTAATTGTAAGCTGTGTTCACCATCATTTCCAAACCAGGTTGTTGTTGGTTAAGTAATAGAACATGAGGGGGAGTGTGTTCAAGTTCAAGTACTGTAGATCATCCCAGCCATGATGTTATTCACGATAGCACACAGCCTTGAGTGCTCTCTTGCTATTTATTCAACAGTTTGGCAAATGAAAGAAAACAGTGAAGTGAAGAAGGCCCAAACATTGTGTTAAATGTGTTTTAATGTTGTTCATACCTTCCGCCAAAAAAGTAGTACCCTTCTGTGGATAGTAGTACCTCTCCTGTTATGGATAGAGCCATATAAATGATATGATACAAAATCCATGCTTTACGATTTAATTGTGGAAAACAGGATCTTTTACTTTGGAAGGACAAATACTTGACATCACATCCCTTTTTTCATGGATGCTTGACACAGAGGATCATGACCTGAGGGCTCCCAAAGTTGACTAATGGTTCAGTATTTAGGCAAAATTCCTTCAAGGAAAAAAAATAAAATACTATCTAGAGTAAATTAACTTTTTAATTTTTATCATTAAAACCAGTTTAGAGGTGATAAGTCTTTTTGTAAAATGGTAAAATGAATTTTTTCCCATAGGGCAACTATATCCAAATATGGAAGTAATCTGTGTGCGTTCAACCTGTTGAACTGTAATTGAGTTCTATGGCACTAGGCTTCTCTGAAGCTGTTTACAACTTTTGATTGCATTTAAAAGGGTGAAAACATTATTTTCATTTATATTTTGTAATTTCAGACACTTTGTAACTGTAATGTGTTATCTGGATTATAAAGTACACCACTGGGAATCATAATTTTAGAAAGGAATTGCAATATCCCATCCAAATGACATGTTGGTCCACTTTTGTGCACGTATCTAGCCAATAAAAACATGATGATGATTAAATGAAATGAATGATATTGAATGAGAAGCATTAAATGAAATTAAATAGGAAATACATTTTTTGATCAAGAAAATGATGTCCCCATGTCTTATTACAGATGTATGTAACATATGTATCTTATAATGATGTTATTATTAACATACATTCCAAATAACAATTAAAAAGATATTAATCTTACTATGAAAATTTTGGGCTTTTCAGTATAAGGGAGTTTTTAGAATAAAATTAGATTTTATGGTATTTTCCACAAATGCATTTTACCAACTAACCTCCTTTAACACAAATATTCATATATTTCCATTATTTAAGCAATTTTAAATAATAAACACAACACTTTTACCATGTTTAATTAATGACTCATGCAATAAAGGGTTAACTGCAGTGCACAGTATGTCATTTCTTATCAACCAGTGCTCAGTGGAATGATGTCATTGTTGGGTGTGCCCTTATCACACAGAACTGTGGTAATTGATTTAGTAAACAATAGTGAAAAGATGCAACTATACCAATTTTATGTTTTTGCTCATACATTCATCACATCTATCAGCTCTCTATGAGTGGAAAATGACTGCGTGTGTGTGTGTTAAATGTTGCACCAAATCATTTTGTTGAACTCTGCAAATCCACCTGTAGCTGTAAGTTTTGGTGCACTGTCTAAACCAACAGGAAACACTCCTCTGTGCAACTTCCTGAGAGCAGACCTAACTGTCAGAACACCAGTATTTCTCTGGGTGTCAACTGGGTGTATGCACATTTGACTCCAATGAACAGCATTCGCATTTTAATGGCCAGGATTATAAACAAGTTACAAAGGTCCAGCTCAGCAACCTAATCCCTCTCAGTTGGATCTGGCATACTTAGAGATGGATAACTTAACTTGGTAAAGTGCAAGACCTTTAAAGCCTGGCACACGAAGCGAAATGTTAATAAGTAAATTGAATGGGTAAGGTGCAGTGCACCGTCTGCAATCAGGGCGTAATATATGTACATGAAGAAAAAATGTCGTAATGCTAATTTGCTTTCATTCCTATCTTCTTTAGGACGAATGGAGCGGTCATTAAAGGCTTTGAGGAAGATGTTGGCAGTCGCACTTCTCTCTACACCTTCTCCACCAACACCTTACGCAACTCAATGCGAAGCTATGCAGGTGCAGGTTACCAGGGCCCTCCTCTGGGCAAGGTAACACAGCAAGTTCTTTTACTAAGGTCACCAAAAAATGCTGTTATAACTTGGTTAGTTACTTGTCTGCCTTCATCTTTTGAGTTTATTTAAACTTATTAAATTGATACTATGATAACAGAGCAGGAGTCTGTGTCTTATGCTCTGTCTGCTTATTATTTGAAGTTAAATTAACTCAAAATTAAGACAATTCTTAATTATTATTATTATTTTTTTAAAGTTAAAACACCTTTCTTGGTCTTCCATGAAGCTCAATGCCACGAGCACACAAGTACTGACTTAAAAATGCTGACTTTCCTTTTATTTTTCTCTTACACATGTATGTTTGCACTCTTTCCCCTATTTCTCCCTGTTTCCCCCCATCTAGGAGACCAAGTATGTTTTCTTGCCTGATCATGACCGTGACTACATCCTCATGAGGGCAGCGGCCACACACACACTGATTGAGAAGGGGCCAGAGAAGAGTGCTAAGTAATACTGCTGTTACTTCTGCTATAAAACAGGACATATAACAAGAATTCTGTGTAAAATGTGATATAATTTGCTGAATTTTACCATCTTAACTAAGATTTCAGTGTAAAAGATTCTAGATTTGTAGATGTCTTGTTTTTTTTCCTCTTAGGCCACCCAGTTATTTTGGAAGTGATGTGACGGTAGAGAAATTTAAAATGTATCATCCAGACTTTATTCGATACCTTAGAAACAGGTGAGATTTAAAGCCAATCTGTTGATGCACACTTTATGTTAGCTATCTTGTAGCCCTTCATCATTGGTCAGTTTCTTTTGGCTGGATATATTTGGGCTGTTGGATCACTCTCACTACAGTGACACTGAACCCCAGCATGATACACCTGTGCCAGCACCACACACACTGCCATGTCAGTGTCACCGCTGTACTGAGAATGGACCACCTTTCAAATAGTATCTGGTCAGCAGATGTCCTGTGGACAGAAATTAACCAGTGATGAATGACTGGGCTGAGGGTGACCGATAAACAGTGCATCATGTCAAATCATGCATAATTTGGTCAGACATGTTGATTTTCTAGTTGAAAATAAGTTAACACATCCATTACAGGGAACAAACTTAAATATTTTGCAATTTGCTGCATTTAGCATATTGGGAAAAAAATTAAACATAAAATGTGAAACTTTTGCATAAGCTTAAGCCTAACCTTTTTCCCCCAATATGCTAAATTCAACAAATAAACAGTAACTGTGCATTAAAATGTGCAGAAATGTGTTCTCTGTAGAGGGTGTGTTCACTTATTTACACACACAAATCAACAGAATGTCATTTAACCAGGGGTGCCCAAACTTTGCATACTGTAGATTTGATGTTCTTAGTGTGAACTGTGCCTTTATTCAGTATAGATTTTTAAACCTGGTTTCTCCCCACAAAAGCTGAACGAAAAGTTGATCCAACATATATAGTTAACATACTTTTCCTCCTGTTGACGTGTAGGCCACAGTGTTGATTCCTTTTATTCTGCTGTAGGTTTCTGCGTTCACACACACTCAACACTAGATATAAAGACATCTACAGACCATCTACAGGAGCTGTGATGCTACTGGCAGCTTTTCATACTTGTGACCAGGTGAGATCTCTTCTCCTTAATCTTTACGATTCAGTTTATGAGAGGTCAGTGTTTTACAGTGAGTGAACTGCCATCAGTGTTATTACATTTCTGTTTTAGGTCATGGTCTTAGCAATAAAATGTTAAAGTGTAATAATCTAATTTATCACTGCATATAACTGCCCCCTTCGATGTCTACACTTATGAGCCAGAACATAATGTCCACTTACAGACGAAGCGAATAACATTGATTATCCTGTAAAAACGGTGCATGTTGAGATCTGGGATATTAGATGGTAAGCGAACAGTCGGCTCTTGTAGTCGACATGTTGGATACTGGAAAAACGGGCAGCTGTGAAGACCTGAGCGAGTTTCAGATGGGCCAAATTGTTATGGCCAGACAACTGGGTCAGAGCATCTCCAAAATGGCTATCCTGCCTGGTCCAAACTGATTGAAGGGCTAGTGAATTTTTTTAATAATGCTTAAAGGAGGAATGCGGCACAATACACAGTGCATTTCACCCTGTTGCTTATGGGGCTGCAGCCCACTCAAAGTGCCCCTGCTAACCCCTGTCCACCATTAAAAGCATCTACAATGGCCACATTAGCGCTGGAACTAGACCTTAGAGCAATGGAAGAGGGTCGCCTGGTGTGATGAGTCCCATTTTCTGTAACCTCTCATGGCCGGCCAGGTAGATGTGCGCCATTTACCAGGAGAAGTGATGGCACCAGGATGTCAAGTCAAATTTATTTATATAGCGCCTTTTACAACAGATGTTGTCAAAAAGCAGCTTTACAGAGAATCCGGGTCCACGCCAAGCCTTGGCGACAGTGGCAAGGAAAAACTCCCTCAACAGGAGGAAGAAACCTTGAGAGGAACCAGACTCAAAAGGGGAACCCATCCTCCTCTGGTCGACACCGGATAACAAGACAGTGCCACAGATGCACTGTGGGAAGAAAACAAGCCAGTTGAGGGAATGTGATATTCTGGGACCAATTACACCCCATCCAGACAGTGGTTTTCCCTAATGGCACTGTCTTGTTTCAGCAGGATGATGCACCCTGCCACACTGCACACATTGGGCCTCATTCACTAATATCTTCCTAAGTTTTTTTTTCATACATGTATTCTTGAGAAAGATCCTCAGGACATTTCTGCATCAGATTCATGACGTGTTCTTAAACCGCAGAGTTTGCACCTTTGTGCTCTTGAGTGTGTCTGTTCTTACCTAAGAACAGATCCCAAATAAGAAAACATTGAATGTCAGAATCTTTGTGAAAACTGGCTAAGTTGGTTTTAAAAATAAATTTCTTAAGAATGGTTGGTGAATGAGGCCCATTGTTCGGGAACAGTTTGAGGAACATGAGGAGCTGATGGTGTTGTTCTGGCCTCTAAATTACCCAGATCTTAATTCGTTTGAGCATCTATGGGATGTGCTTGAACCAGAAGTCTGATCTGTGGCAGCTCCACCTCGCAAACTACTGACTTAAAGAGTCTGTTGCTAACATCTTGGTGCCAGATGATGCCTTCAGAGGTCTTGTATATGCCTTGTTCATGCCTTTGGTGGCACACAGAGGACCAACAGGATATTAGGTCATTATATGGGTAATATTGAGTTGTATTGAGTAGTGAACATTCTTGAGGGTTGTTGCTTTCATCAGTTACTGAACCAATCAGACTTTGATGCTTCGTCATAACTCAGTTTAGTATAATCTCATAATCGGATTTTGACCATATCAGTAAGCTGTGCCTTTTGACAGCTGTGCATTTGACACATGACCAGTGTTACTCAAGAAAAATATTATACTATACATATTGTGCTATACTTACTATCCATATTTCATTGCATAGTGACCATGCTTGAAGGATATTGGGTGACTCTTGCTACATAACATTGACACAACCATGCCATAAACATGTCATGGCGGAGGGCATTTTGTTTAGCAGTATAACAATCTCATGTTACCATCATGACTGCCTATGTCACACCTACTCTAGCCGTCATGTCAAACATTACAGCATCTGTCATGACAATTCCCAGTAATGGTACCATGATACTGTTTAATTTATAGTACTCGATTAAATCACTAAGAAAATTACTTCGATTAAATCACTAAGAAAACCCGTCTTATCACTCTTGTTGCAGCTACAGCCTTACAGTTGGAAGATGACCAAGCAAAATAGACCAGAATAACAAAGAAGATTAAAAAATATGTGAACACTTTACATGCAGTCTTTCAAAACTGCCAAAACTCTTACTCATACACAAAGCTGAAGTTAGCTTCTTATTTCAATTTTCGGTTCCACCTTAAATGGTGCTGCATCTTACCTCAATCAGTAAACGCATCTGTAATCATAAAATACCTTAAACTTTCATTTGGAAATGTTTAATGAGCAGGTAATTAGTGGCACAGCAGGGTCTATGATCAGCCACCGGAGCTGCTGGACTGTTGAACGTCTCACTTGCTGATCTAATGCTGTGTCCCAAGCCATACACTTTACCTACTACACTAATGAGTGCACTTAAATTTTTTTAGTTCGTCATTTCGTGTGCTAGTATGGGAAAACCTTGTGCTAGTGGGAAATCCTCGGCTATTTAGATTTCAGCCTCCATTTGTCATCACTACAGCAACAAATCAGATAAAATATATCAATCAAATATAAAACAAAATGTCATTTAATGTACTAAATTAATTCTTTTAAACTAAGTGTTCAAAAAAAAACAAAAAACAAAACAAAACACATTTTACTGCCTTTGCTGGATCGGTTATGGCTTTATCTCATAACAACCTGCCACTGTGCTCCCAAGTGAACTTTCGAATGCACTACCACCATTGTTGTAGGCAACAGTGATGTTATCTGAGTGCTATGAGGTACTGAACGAAGTCTTTTACGATGAGTCTTGACATCATACCACATGTTTATGGCAGGAGTATGTCAATGTTGTAAAGCAAGGTTGAAGTACAGTGTTACCAGTGTGTGTCTATCAACAAAGCATCAGACTTACAGGCCTCTTTATAAGTTGGCACAATTTTGCATAGTTATGATATGATATGATTCTGGCTCAGTAAGTTCCATCTGATGTAAGTGACCAAACACTACTTATTCAGGGAACTGCTTAGTAAAGACTCAAGGGTTAAAATTGACCACTAGGATAAGCCCAAACCCCATCATGTTCATATACACCCACATCGTAAGGCTCTTTTTTCCAGTAACTACATGGAATACAATGAAAAATGAGTGGTGGTTGTTGATGATGATGATGTTGTTGATGATGATTATGTTGTTGCTGTTGATGATAATTCTGTTCCTTCTCCCCCACCCGAAAAGGTGAGTGCCTATGGATTTATGACCTCGGATTACAACAAGTACTCGGACCACTACTATGACAAAACTCACAATCCAGTGCATTTCTATGCCAACCACGACCTGCGGATGGAGCTGATGTTATGGCAGCAGCTACACCAGGCAGGACTGATTCAGCTCTACATGCGAACATAAACCCACAGCGCACAAACTTGGACACTATCTCAGACTCAGTCACTAGACAAGGAGTCTCCTGCCCCATGGGAAGTGCGGTGGTATAAGCTGTGGACAAATAACCTGTGTCTGCTATTTGGCCTCTTTGACTGGCCTAGTTCAGCTCAGTATGCTGTCAATGGTGAACAAGAAATTCTTTCAAGACTTTTTTGGTTTTCTTCACGATTTTTATTTATTTACTGTTTAAACTAGGATACTGAACCCTGGTAATCAGTGACTCAGGATCTGTGTGTGTGTGTGTGTGTGTGTGTTTGTGTCTATGTGTGTGTGTGTGTTTTAAAGGGAATTGATTACTGTCCTCATCTGTTGGGAATAGAACATCCTCCCAACACACAGCCCTGTTGCATATTGTGGCTGCCACAACAAAATCTCCCGCCTCTTTTTAAAGTCATTTTTTTCACTTTTGTTAACATAAATCGGACATTTACTATCCTTTTTATGCCCCTCTTGTCACTTTCCAGTGCAGGGAGATCTGCAGGGCTGTTAAAGGTCTCTAATAATCTTGAAGGATTGGGGAAATTAGAAAGGAATCTAAAAGAAGAAATCTGGAGGTCGTAGATTTCTTGCGACAACATTGTCAAAATAAGCATGTCCTTTGTTCCATGTATACCCTTTTTCAGTTGGAGAATCTGCTCCAATGAAGGAGCAGCAGCTGCTTTCAAGGCTGGAATAGGGTGGAAATACACAGCACCGGCTGAAGCCAGACAGGCTATTGTATTGTCCGTTTTGTTTTCGCCTGTCCAGTTACTGATCAGTATAATGCAACATGAAGGAGTAACAGCTGGTAAGGTGTTCTATAATAGATAGTATAATATTGTAAGATGCCTTCAGTTTAATATGCCTTAGGATTTAAGTGCCATGTTTGTGTGTGTGTGTGTGTGTGTGTGTGTGTGTGGAACACTGTGAAATGAAGAGGTTTTTTATTACATTTTCTGAAGCTTCAGCAAAAATGCATCTTACTGATGCACTCAACCAAAGACTAATTAATAAATAACTTTAATAAAACATTATGAAGCAACTTTTATACCAATTACTGGGTACACTGGTGACCTTTTTAGAAACAAATTGCCCAATTAAAGACCATAACGGTAATAACAGTAGTGGACTTCAGCACAATGCAATACATACATATACAGACATAATGGTTCAGATTCAGTGACCTCAACAATGCCAGAGAGTAATGCACTGCAAAAAATAGTATCTTGTCAAGTGAAATTATCTTAACACTGGCCAATTTATTTCAAATGTCTTATTTTGAATCTTATTATATCTTATTTAGCTGGTTTCAAGCACATTTCTTAAAACAAGCACAATTATCTGCCTCACTATCTAACATAGTGAGATGATTTTACTCTAAATTAATTATTTTAAATTGTTTAAAACAAGTAATGTTTGGAAATAAGTTAAATAATCTTAAACTAAGTTTATAACAATCTCAAGAGGAGAAATATTAACATATTGACAATTTGAGAATTTTACTTGACACGATACCATTTTTGCTGTGTGAGCTTCATGCAATCTTGCATGAAGAACATTTCAAAATACCAGTATGTGAGAGGTCTGTCAATTTCAGTTTGGATGTATAAAGTGCAATATGTGAGATTAAATATGTAGTATTATAAACAAGATAGTGTTTATATCTTGTTTCATCTGTGCATTGCTGTCCTCTTACCTGGCCTGCATTGTATGCCACTGACCATATATATAATGAAAAGTTTATTACCAAATCTTTTAACCCATCTTATTGTTTATCGTTAAATGATTAAGGGGTTTCTCATTCATTCCGATTCATTGGCAGTGTAGAATGTTTTTATTTTTCCATTCAAACGTGCTAAAATGTTTGTTTTATACAAATGAAATGTAAAAAGAGATCATTTGGTATGCCTTTAAGTAACCTATTATAAAAAAGATGAAGCTTCAGCAGGGTTTGGTGAAAAAAATGAAGGGCAAAATCAAATGTTATGTCTAAAAATATTTTTTTTAAAGAAATCTTAATAAACATTAAAAATCTGTTAATGATTTTTGGTGCTGTGCTGTCTAGTGAGTGATTCTGTCTTCCATTTAATTCAAACCCATCTTACCACTTTTAACCATTCAGGAAACAGCTGATGTCTCACAACGAGGACCATTAGACACACTGTTTCTGAGTATTTGTTTAACCCCTTAAATGGCCAGGGCCGACTGACAGGCCCAATGTTTTATTACACAATTATATAATTATATTTTTATATATAATATAATAATATAATAATTCAGCCAGTTTGCATTGCAGTCCCTGTAGTTACTGAAGGATAAGACTCAGTTTGTAATAAGCCTGAGATTTTAAGGGGTTAAGCCATAAAGCGAAGAATGGCCCATTCAAATAGATCACATTATTTTAGTGAACCCCACCCAAATAAACCCTCGGTTGTCAGCTGATAAACCTTTCCCCACATTCAGCTGCTCTGGTTTATTTTTAGTTGTTCTAAAACGGGGCTTCCTCATCATGCAGATATTTCACCTCACTTTCACAGTAGGCTGTGAACATTGTGACACAATTCTTGTAAGCGTTGTTTAGATTCAAGTTCCAAGTCCATGAGGTAATGCTCCTCTTTGAGGAGCTGACCAGGCTTCTCTAGGTAGCTCAAACTAGCTGTAGAGACGTCCAGGCAATTGGAACAAAATTCTGGGGAGGACTTTTACTTTGTTGACCTGAATTAGCCAGCTCTGTACATATCTGTACCTACTTACCACGTAGTCTTCAAATTGTATTGGTGGTAGCATTACTTTCACTCATCTGAGATTTTTGTTGGTTCTAGCCAGAGGGGGAACCCTCAGAGAACGCCTGATGATTTCTGTGGGGGGAAAAAAAATATTTGTAATTTTATCATTGTGCTTGTTGCATTTGTCTGCAAGCATTGGAGTAATTATTTTATTACACTGATAAGTTTTCATTGGAAATGTTTAATCACTCAATGGAAAATTAGCCAAGTAGGATTGTTTTTGTTTCTCCATGCTATCTAGGTAGATACAGCAATGTGAACGAGCTGATCTGAAATCCTGAAAACGTCAGATTAACCTCTAACGTAATTATAAACTGACAGTGGAATCAGCCATGTTTTGATTTATGGTAGCTGTGGCGAATAGGGAGGGAAAAAATCACTCTAGGCCAGTGCTTGCCTGACCAGTGCTTTCCAGTCAGATGCAAACACAGAGGCAGCTCTGTGTTACATACTAAAAAAAGATGGTTCTTCAGTAGCTTCTTTCAGAATGTTTCTATTAGAACCATGAGTTCTGTATAGAAACATTTCATGCTTAAATAGTTCTTTGCATGGTGATTGATGGAAAATGTGTTGTATATGGTTCTATATATCACCAAAAAGGGTTTTGTTATTGTTACGATGCCAAGCCTGTAACAGTAGAAGAACCCTTTTGGTGCTATATAGAACCAGAGGTTCTGTATAGAATCATATACAACACATTCTCCATCAGTCTGAAGAACCATTTCAGTTTGAAATGATTCTATGGAACTCATGGTTCTAAGTAGAACCATTGCTTTTACTGAAGAATCATCAGTTTTAAGTGTGTAAGGCTCTTTACTGACCTGCAACAAGGTAAAATATATTGTTGCTGTTGAAACAAAATCTTGGATCTCCGTTTTTGTTGTTTTATTTTAAACATGTTAGCTGCCCCTTACATTGTGTGTAAATTCCATGATGAATGGATTAAAAGAAATGGTCCAAAATTACTTGAAAAAAAGATGGGTTACTTTGACTTACATTAAAAATAAAGTATGTTTTTTCCGTCTCCTGTAAATTTTCCATTTTGGAGATGCAAGATTTTGTCCTGAGAGCAATGATATGTTAATGTTTGTTAAAAGCTTCAAATAAAACCTGGATTTTTTCCAAGCTTCAAATGATTCAGACATGTGAATCGCTGCTAGCCTAAAGCTAACATATTACTAGAATCCCATAGAGATGCTAACAACAGACAGCAATATCACAGAGGAGCTTTTTGTGATCATTTTGCAAGTAGTTATAATATTATGTATAAAAACTCAGAAGACACATCTAGTTTCACTGGTCATTTTGGATGGTAAATAAAATGGCTATATTTGTGTTGTAGACATTGTGACCCCTGGTTCTTATCACCACCACTGTAAAGAAATCTGAGTGTTTAAGTTTCTCTACAATGAACCATTTCACACCAAACCACTCTGAATGACTTTGTTTACATCTCAACGACTGAGTTATGCAGAAATGTTGACAAATCTGATATAATATTATTTGTATTTATTTGAATGATAGTATTTTTAGTCCAGATATATCAGATTTTAAATAGAAAAGACTTTTGCAAAGTACTGTAGCCAAGATGTTTGGGGTATTTCTGTGCTGTACTTTGTCAGGTCTTTTAACTAACTTAAGTCCTCTGTGCAATTCCTTGAGTTCTGAGTGAAGCAACACGGATAGTTTAATAGTTTTTGAATTCTCCACGGAACATTTAAAGTAGGCTCAGCATTTGATCTGATTTGAATTTTGGATGTGTTTAACCTTCGCTCTTAAAATTAAGGGTGCAAGAAAGGGTTCTTTCCATGATTTCATAGAAGAACCATTTTTTGGTTCTCAATCAATGGTAAAGAACCATTCATAACGTGTGAGTGTGATGAACATTTTCAAAGAACCCCCATATAATGTATAGGTTCTTGCTTGGACGAACACACATTTGGTTTAACATCATGTTGAAGGTTCTTTATAACTTGAAAAGATTCTCACACTCACATCTCATTCACAAACACAGTTCTTTAGGGAACTAAAAAGGTTCTTCTATGGCCCATGTGTCAAGTCAGGCCCGTGACGCAGTCCTATTTGGCCGTCAAAATTATTTTAGTTTTCTATTCATATTGTTTTTAGTTTCACCCTGGGGTGCACTACAGTCCCCAGTATGCACTGCAACATAGTGTGTGTACTGACACCCTTTCCCCAACAACAATCCATGGTCCAGCGGTTACACAGAAAGAAAAGATGCCTGGTGTCAAATTCAAACAAACAGACAGTTTTAAAAAACTACCTTAAACAATTTATATTTATTTAGAATTATTTTTGAATAAGTATTCAATGCCTATTTTGCTGTTGCAGTTTTGGCAAAATGTTAAGTAAAAATAAAATAAAAACACAGCTGGCCCACAGATTTGTTGAGGTTTTTAATATGGCCCTTTTAGTGGTTGAGTTTGACACCCCCATTCTATGGCATTGCTCAGGTGCACAAGGTACAGTTTGGGTGAGAAAGATAATTTTTCCTGCTATTTCCATTTTTTTTTTTTTTTGCTTTGCTAGGTAAAACATTGCCACAAACAAGATCTTTGGTCACAACTTGGACAACATTAAGCTTATCGACTTACGCACCTTTGCTGATACGGGAATGTAAGAGGTTACATCATCTCTGTTAATGTTATTGTTTGCAATGTTTTGGAAAGTACTGCTGAGTGTAACCTGTGCTACTGACTGATAGGGCGTGTTTTCACACATCATTTATGTCTACTTTTCTTATTGTGCAATGTGAAAGGAAATTAATACAACAGATGTAGAAACTTAAGTCAGCTGAATTGTCTTAACATGTTTTAGAAAAACCCACAGCTCATGTCTCACCCAAGAAAAGCTTACTTTGGTGTCTGCTTAGCTTCAAGGAAGACTAGAAGGGTGCGATTATATGAAAACCATATGATTTTAAACAATTACAACCATAGAATTTAAAATCCATAATTGAAAACCATAATTTCAGATGATTAGCTGTTACATAGATGTGTGGCCTACACAGTGCTTAGGCTGACTGCATCAAGAAAGAAGCTATTATTGTACACAGACATAAACGTGTTGAACAGTGTCGTAGCTTTTATGTCTTGTCAGCCGTCAGTGATTTGCAGTAAGTACTGCACTCCATATGAACTATGAACCAGAGAGAGATCTAAAGTCAAACCTCTATGTTTGTGAAGGTTGTGTGCATCAGAACATTGTCCTTCACTGCCCTCTGGTGGGGGTTTTGTATCTTTGCACTGTTCTTTCTTAGGATGAGGTAGGATCCACTTTATTGTCCTCCAGGGGAAAAGCATTGCTACATCCGCATTGCTACATGCATGCAACATATTCGAACATACATTAACACACATACAGCCACATGAATAAATGTCAACAACTGAAACTTAGAATAGCAAATGACACAGCTTACCAAGTTGACTGACAATAGGCACTGTATTGTAAAGCATAGAATCAGAATCATTTACTGTGTAGAAATGAGGGGAGATTTGTGCGCAAGCGATGAATCTGCTTGAGTGCGTGAAATCAAGCGCCGGCCTACTAGCACTTCATGAACGTGTCATTTGCATAATACACACCCTAATTCATGCAGATGTTTTTGTAGGGAGCCAATGGCCAATAAAGTGACAACATTCAGCATCTCATGAGCCAGTGTCTGTTTTTTTTTCTGTGGTGTTGAAAGTATAACTGTTTAATTTCAACTTAAAAAACAAATCTTGTTATGTTTTGCTGTATTCATTTTTATTTGTATTTCTAAGACTTTTGCACAGTCATGTATAATGTGTGGGTGGCCTGGGTTAAATTCCTGGCTGAAAAATGGTCCCAGTCTGGCCCTGCCAGGGACTACACATTCCCCATGATGATTGAAGAGAGGAAAGATTTAATTCACTGTTTCATTGGTTTGTGTTCCACTTCAGCTCTGCATCCTCAGCGCTGCTAATCAGCTCCTGCAGGATCTGAAGCTTGTCTCCAGGTAACAAATCCACAACCCCGAGAGTAAACAGTGTGTCCATTGTGGATCTTGTGATTATTAGCAGCGAGAAAAAGAAACAAAACACTAAAGACAGTATCACCAAGCTGCCTACACTGTATAACACATAAGAAAGCAGAGCTGAGACTTAAACATTTATGTAAACTGAAAAGAACATGGACCACTGCCACAGGCTGCCACTGGTGTGCACTGCTGCAAGTCGACTTATAAAGCCTGAAATTATCATTTAAAGTCAGGGGTATCAGAATTTGGCAGGAGTTTTCAAACCATGTCATAAGATTTACGTATTAATGTCACACATACAGGCTCAAAAAGGAGGATATTTAGATCTCAAATGCAAAATTCAACATTATATTGATTGAGATATGATGACAATAGCTGATAATTCACTCACATCCTCGGAAGACACGTCCTCCATCAAGATTTGACTGATTTCGCTTTAAATTCTCTTTCAATGCGCTCGCAATCATCAGCTTCATCTGCTTGGGGAAGGGTCCGAAGTGCAACCCATGTTACAAAATGTTTTTCCAAATGTTCCATGCAATTATACATTTCCACCAGAGAGGTAGACATCCAAATCCCAGTATCATACATAGTGCAGTTTTAACCGAATTTACGGGTTCCACAACATTCTAATGGTCTAAAAAGGCTAAGGCAATGTTGTTGGACTAAAAAATTCAATAAACTAATTAATAAAATGTATTTCCATTTACAGCACGCATGAAAAAAATGACAGTCATCGCTTATGATGTGCCTTTAAATACCGAAGGAATTCCAACAGACAGCCACTCGAGGGAGACATAATCAAAAGTTTTAAACCTGACTTCATTCCCAACCACAACTACAATCACAGGCCTAATCACAGCCCTGACTCTCTGAACCTCAATCACAAACGATGTTAGGGCTGGAACTGCGATTGTTTTAGATTGGTGAGTTCTTTGCATTCAGGAGAAACTTCACTAGCACAAACTTAAGTGTGGTGCAATTATTATGTTAAGTAATTGGGGTGCCATTAATAGGTTCCAGTCAAATCCATTTTCCTCACCACTTACACTAGACAGAGAGTTAAAAGTTTGCTTCTAATTGAAGAACTTTGTGAACATTTGCAAATAAAGGCCACTGTATCTGGACAGACATGTGGCATATATGCTTGGGTCAGTGGAGAACCCTCAGGGCCTTCGAGGCCATAGGTTTTTCATTGTATGTATACCTATTTATTTGGTTGGAAATAAAAGGGTTTTGTGAGTTCAGACTGTGCCTTCAACATGTGGTAGTAGTATGAAGGAAGACTGATTGAGGGATGGGGGAGAACTCTGAGAACTTGGGCTGGAGTTCTGGGCAGCTTCTGCCTGTAGCTAGAAGACCAGATCCACCCTCATAGCTGTAGTAGGACTGCTACAGGACTGAGGAACAGGGAGGAGATGGGGTGGCGGTGGGGATTGCGAACACTTCATCACTGGAACGGGAGGTTAGGATGTGAATTTATAGGGCTTTAGATTGAAAGAAGGAGGGGTTTCAGTCATGCTCCTCCCCCCAAACTTCAGTTATAACTACATTAAATTCTTGACAAGCCCAGCAGAAAACCGTCCCATCAACCAAATGAGCTCTCTCACTGGCCAGACTAACCACTAATATAATTAGGAACTGACATACCAACTAATCATGTTTTTTTCTGAGAAGAAAGATGTCACTCTAGGCCAGGGGTGCACAACTCCGGTCCTGGAGGGCCGGGGTCCAGCACAGTCTGGTGATTTACCTGCTCAAACACTCTTGATTACACTCATCTATTAATCACCAGGCTTAGTGGGAGTGTTTGAGTAGGGAAACCTCCAAGCCCTGCTGGACACCAGCCCTCCAGGATCAGAGTTGTGCACCCCTGCTCCAGGCCTTCTGGAAGTCCTAGATATGTCACAGACTGCAAGTATGAGTGGTAGCCTGACCAAAGCATTTCAATCTGTTGTTACAAAGGGAATCCAGCATGTCAGGACTCTGTACTGAACTGCTGTAAGGTAAAATATGCCTGTTACAAGCCTCAAATGTCCATGTTTAATCTAGAATGACCAAAATGTTCATGTGAATTGATACTACAAACCCATCAGGATGCCAAGTCCTGAAAATGTTTTGCATGTGTAATTTGCAGACTGCAATGTTACATTTTTCAAGATTCAACTCGCCAGGTAATAACTGAAGCCGATGTGCTTGAGCTGGGAAACACTGGGCTCATTTCACAAACTAGCAATGCTCTTGTATGTGATACCACAAGTGACACAACTATTGTATCAAGGAAAGAGAAATTTGCCAGAGTAATCATTTCACTGCCCACAATCCATAGCCTGAATAAGGTGCTTTTGAAGCCTATGAAAAAGTGAAGCATATCAGCCACGTTCCTCAAAGCAACATTTATTTGCTGGATTTTATTAAAAAACACTCAGTAGGTACAAGAAATATACAGCATGAAAAATATACACTATAATGGCTTCATACAAATACTGTTAATAAAAAAATTACTTTATATATATTTATAGCCACAAGGAGCATTCACACTGAGTGACACACCACGTAATGATGGAAAAAAACAACCAGAATCATATTATATTGGACAATGCTTTGGTCTTTTCACAGTGGCTACTCTATAATTATACATTATTAATTATTGTATACAATATATTAGTGAAGATCTATAGTGTATCTACATACAAAACTACATATGTAGGTATTTTAATGCAGAGTTTAGAGTGTTTGTTTTCTTTTACTGCAGAAACAAGGACTGTTCTTCTTATGAGATGTTGCCTTTTCTTTGTGGGGGATACTGTCATGATAAGGAAATATTATGGGAATTTTGTTGTGTGAAGTTCAGTTATTTTACGCAAAGCTTCTGCACAACGTGTTTGTGTGTCACAGTACATAATGGCCTGTTTTTTTGGGCGAGGGAGGTATGGTGCACCTTTCACTTTTCTTCACCTGTTTTGTAGTGAGCAACAATTACTAAATTACTTGTACCTTAAGCTATGGTACCACATTTTCTTGTACTCTGGCACTAAAATATGTTTGGATCAGCACCCCTAATGCACCAGGGATCTAGCAAATGTGAATGCTCTAGAAATCACTTTCAGATTTTCTCCAGTTTACTTGATTTGTACTGCTCATCTATAATAATGAGCTGGAGAACAGGCTATACAATGATGCACTATATGGTCAAAAGTATGTGGACACCTTATCATGACACCTATATGAATTAGTTGGACATCCCATTCCAAAACCACTGGCATTAATATGGAGCCTTTCCTTTGCTGCTATAACAGCCTCCACTCTTCTGGGAAGCCTCTCCATGAGATTTTGGAGTGTGTCTGTAGGAATATGTGCCCATTCAGTCAAAGAGGAGTTGTGAGGTCAGAACAGAAGATCTTGCCCACAAACAATGTTCCAACTCATCCCCAAGGTGTTCAGTGGGGATGAGGTCAGGCCCCTGTGCAGGCTATTGGAGCTCCTCCACACCAAACCCACAAAACCATGTCTTTATGGACCTTGCATTGTGGACTTGGCATTTTCCTGACATCCACCAGACCCAGATTCAGCCATCAGACTGCCAGATAGGGACTCATCACTCTAGACAACACATTTCCACTGTTCCAGAGTCCAGTGGTCACATGCTTTATACTACTGAGCCAACTGCTGGCGTTGCGCATAGTGATCTTAGGCTTAGAAACCGATTTCAGGAAGCTTCTGATGCAAGGTTCTTGTGCTGATGTTGCTTCGAGAGGCAGTTTGGAACTCAATACATTTTACCTCACGTTTCAGCACTCAGCAATACTCGGTGCTGTGAGTTTGCATGGTCTGCCGCTTTGTGGCACTTACAGTTGGCCAGGGTAGATCTAGCAGGGCAGAACTGACTTGTGGCAAAGTGGCATCCTATGACAGTGCCATGTTTAAGGTCGCCGAGCTTATCAGTTTGACCCATTCTACTGCCAATGTTAGTCTGGCATGACTGAACTAGATTTTATACCCCCGTTAGCAATGGGTGTGGCTGTAACACCTGAACTCAATAGTTAGGATGGGTTCCACATACTTTTGGCCATATGGTGTATATTAACATGAAAATTCAGGATGCACTTTTCAAAGTATACTGTGGGTACTGTCTACTTTTAGGACACTAAAAATTGTTTACAATTTTTTCTTAAATAGTTTATTTTTGCAAACAGAGATTTTAAATGTGGCACTACTGTTTTGCTGGTGCATTTGGTCTGATCTAACTTCTAAACTGAGGAAGAACTAAGGAAAAACGAAATATTGTCTTAGATATTGTATATCATGAAAAAGTAAAGTATTGTTCTATTTTTGTTATCCTAGTTTTTTCAACTCAATTCAACCACGGGGTTAGAGTTGATGGACGATTCGCTCTTCCACCACACAAACTGATTACACACAAAGTGCACTTGAATGATCTGTAAAACATTCAGATGTCAGACAAAGTACATCCACATGGTACCCCAAGAGACCATTCCCAAAAATATGTATTTAATTTCCAAAATGTTTACCATCATGACCCACCTACATGACAGCAATGACACTAAACACAACAGAAAACTGTGCAGCGACACTGTATGGCAAATACAACCACTAGTCTCAATATGCTTTTGGTAACAGACATTATAAATGCAAGGTGTAAAAAGCTTTAATAATGCACTATATATGTATAGAGAGCACCTCAAGACTGTTGGGTTGACTTAGCCTACACTATATAGTCACACATAATGTGACAAACATGTATTCAAATATAATTAATCCATATTATATTAATGATCTCTGTAGGGTCACAAATACTGCCTGTTAAAAGTTTAGTGACTCAGCTTTTGAAAGATGTTTTTACAAATGAGCATGTTTTCTTTTTGTCAGTTTGTAAAAACTTAACATATTAAAATCTGAGCAGGTTTATTTTGAGGAAAAAATCTCATGTACATATTTGTGACAATAATAGTGACAGTGCTACGTTGGGAAAAATGCTAAAGCTCACACATTTCATTCCCTGACGTCAGCACTCAGCAGCACTCAAACCTTTCAGGCGTTTAAACCTCCTTTGGGCTAAAAGAGTTTTAATAAGTGCTTTTAACGACAGTTTGGCAAAGAAAACAGTCAAAGTGTTTCAAAACATGGCAAATTGTTAGTAAATGACTGTTTTCGGTTGACAAAACTCGAAATCTTTCTCATTGAAACGTAATCTGAAAATCTAACATCTGATCTCTAAAAGAAGGTGAGGTGTCCCTAAACTTTTGAAAGGCAGTGTATGAGTGTGCAGTGATTTCCAGTATGATAGTGTTATGTAAATGGGTTACTTGTGCTGCTCTTTTGTATGTTCTGAGTCGCGTCAGTGGGCGTTCAGATGATGCCTTTTTAAACACGCTTAAGGCCAGAAACATACTTCACGCAAGCACGTGAGCGCAAATGCTTCAAATTACTTAAACACAGTTTTGTGTGCCGTTGCATTCTAAAATGTGTCACAACTCAGTTCATAATGCAAGCACAAGCTGCATTCTGAGCATTGCAATGAAGGGCACTAGAGCAAAGCCTGGGTAACTTGTACTGCCATTGTGCTTTTATCTGGACTATCAGTTTGACAAATAAAGCAGCACAGTTGTGGCTGTCGGAATAAAAGCAGACCCTGCTTACAGGTGCTCTGATTTTTCTTCTATCGCCCCTGTGAATACTGAGTGTTTTAACCACCATAGTAACATAAGAGCGCAAGCTGGGTGTGTACAGCAGGAAGGTGCATTTGCAATGCGTTGGCTGGGCACTGTCATTTGAATTCACTCTCTTGCGTCAAGTATGTTTCCGGCCCAAAAAAGAAGCAGGACGTGCTTCTAAATGGGGAAAGCTTTGATCTGACTGACAAGTAGGCAAACGCGAGAAAGCGATTTGAGAGAATGTGAAAGACAAACGATTAACATTTCAAAACTGACTTAAAAAATAAATTGAAAACTCCTTTTTCATGTTTAGTTGAACCAGAACTCCAGGTGATCAAAAATGGACAAAACTACCACAATATTGAACTGGTCAGCTGTAATGACGTACAATGTTTTTCGTAGCTCTCAGAAGAATGACTTTTCAAGAAAGCATTCTTCTAGTCTGTGCAACACGTTTTGTGTTTTTGAATTGGGTGTTTAAATTGAAAAACTGGCACGTTTCCCCAAGAAAGCAGGGAAATGAAAAAATGCCAGGAAATGCTAGTTTTAGCAGAATTAATCGTATTCTTGCTTTCTTGTGTGTGTTTTGCTTTAGAAATGTTATCTATTTTTTTATTCATCTTCTAAGCCACTTATCCTCCTGGGTCGTGGGGGGGGGTGCTGGAGCCTATCCCAGCGTTCATTGGGTGGGAGGCAGGAAACACCCTGGACAGGTCGCCAGTCCATCGCTGGGCAGACACACAGGTTCACTCACACACACACACACACACCCCTAGGGGCAAGTTAGTGACTCCAATTGGCCTACATGTCTTTGGAATGTGGGAGGAAGACTGGAGCACCCACGCAGACACAAGGAGAACATTCAAACTCCTCACAGAGGGGACCCTGGTTGCCCGGGTGGGGAATCGAACCCAGGCCCATCTTGCTGTGAGGCCCAATATTGTCTAGGTTTCCTATTTATTATATGTCAGTTTCAAAATGTTTGTCTCAGTCATTTGAGTTCTCTCAAATAATGTCTCCTAGGTAACTACTTGTTAATCAGATGTGTTGACCTGCTTAAGAAGCACGTCCTTGCATTTCAAAAGGCGTAGACTCAACAGCCCTGTAGGTTTAAAAGAGTGTTATATCTCGGTTGCAGCAACGTCGTCGAAAGTGATCTCGTTACCGCTGCTCTCGTCGTCCTGCTCTCGCTTCTCCAGCTCGAGGCTGAGCTCGCGCAGAGCCGTCTCAAGTTCGCGGTTGCGCCTGTACATCTGTACGTAGTTCTGCTGCAGCTGTTTCTGATAGCGGATCACTTTGTCCTTCTCTTCCTCCCAGCACCTACGCTCGCTCTCAAACGCAGTGGCCTGGTCCAGCATGAGCTGTCTCTCTCGTGCCAGCTCTGCCTTCAGCCTGTCCAGGTGCTGTCTGGAACTCTCGCGTTGACCTTTGACCTCCTCGCCATCGCTAGCCAGCCTTTGCTCCTCTGCTATTGCTCCGCCCCCTCCTCCTCTATATCCGGGGCTTATCCCTGCTTCGTGAGCGCGCGTGAGAGGCGGATCCTCTGCGTATTCACTCAGAGCTTCACGCATGCGCGTCAGCTCCTCCTCCAGCCGGTTCATCTTCTCGCGCAGCAGCTCGTTCTCGCTCTTGCGCCGCTGTAGCTCGTTCTCGCACACCTCCAGCTCCAGGGTGCGTGTGCGCGAGTGCGTGTGCGCCTCCTGCAGCTGGGCCTGGGTATTCTGCAGCTCGGCTCGGACCTCACGCAGCTGCCCACGCAAAGTCACCACTTCTCCCACCCGCTGAGCCAGATCCGCCTGCAGGTCCTTCAGCTGCTGCTTCAGCAGAGAGATCTCACCTGATTTCTGACACACCTGTGGGAGAGGAGAGAGGGAGGTCAGAGACAGTCCTAGAAAAACTAGAAGACAGAGTGAAACAGTTATCTGATGCATAACTAGGGCACATCGTGAGTAATGTAAACTAGGGTCCTTGGGTATTTCAGGTCTTTCAACATCACACTCCCTCACCCTAAAATGAAGATTTTACATATCCTCTATAAAAATGATGACGACATCACAGAGTCGAACATTTCTGAGAGATGATTAGAGTGAGATTATAAATGTTGCACAAGTGGGTTTCTATTGTTATGCTGCTGTAACATCAAGGCACAGACTTGAGAGTGGATCCAAGCACAAACTAACTTTATTACAGCCAAAGAGTAATAAAAACAGTCCGAGGCAACCAAAATAAAGACGAAATCCATCAAAGAAAAGTAGACGGGCAGTAGGTCAATGAACATGAAAAACACCAAGAACAATAAGTAATAAGGCTTAGAATTGCAAGACAAGATCTGACAAGACTTCGCAAAGACCTTAGCTAAAATACGAGCCACATATAGAGAGAGAAATGAGAAAACAAGCTTTAGGTGAACATTCAGCCATTAAAACTCAGGAGAGAGTGACCTCTGCAGGCAGGGAAGAGGAATCACCAGAAAAGAACGTGACCGCTGCTTAAAACACAAATTTGAATCAAAGCTCATAGTTATTAACAAGAAGACCTGTTTCTCAAACCAGACTGCAAATAAACTCTTTCAAATAAAGGAAACAAACTGCAGTTTAAACTCATGTTAGTAGCTGAACTGAGGACTTGGCAGGTGTTACGTTTGTGGGATGGAGGGGTATCAGAGCGATCTTGGAGAAAGAAAGAACCCAGCACACACACATCTCGCAGAGGTGTGGGTGATACAGTCAGCGTCTTGCTAATGGGCTGCAGTACGAACCAATGTTATGTCATCATGCACAAGGAACAAAAATAAGCTGCTCTGACAGTGTAAATTCACTAAGATTTCTTTGCACAACATACATTTGGGAAATGATCCAAAAGTGCACGTGCATAATGAAAAAAAAAGCTTGATTGATATTTGACAGTGTATGACAGAATGCCATAAATTCAGGTTATGTAATTGGCCAGAACGATAGCTAGTACAAGATTCTCTTCTTAACCTGCTGATCTGAGGCCTTCAGCACTTGTGAGGGCCTAGACTGAAGCCTATGCAGTCTATACGGCTAATCCATGGTTATGCCGCTGCCTGGGGTTCGTCATGCATTGTAGAGTATGATTAGGAGTGCACCAGTCATGACTTTTTATGTCTGATTCCAATTTCAAATTCCTTGGGGCCAATCAGGCAACAGGCAACGTTTGGTTAATTATTATTAGCCAAAGTCTTTTAACAATGTTAATGAACAGATAATCAGTTAACAGCAAAAAACAACAACAAAAAAAATGGACATTGGCCAGCATGTTGAGACAGCTCTGGTGTTATACGCAGCATGCAGAGAAACACATTAGAAAACATGTTTTATTAATTAAAAATAGGGAAATTGGCAGGTTTTCATGCTGGGTGAGTAACAGAGGCCGCCTTTTCAGAGGAGCTAAGCTAACAAGAGCTAACCGGTACAACACTAGATGTTAATGAGAACTTGTTGTCTTTTTACAAGTGGACAACTAATAAGTTGTCAGAGATTTTCTGGACTTAACCAACATCAGCTAGAGTTGCTGAGCCAGCCATGCCCTCAACCATGCATCCTTGCCACACTCACATTAAGGCACTCATGTTTTGTAGCAGCAAAGTGACCTTATTTACTTACTTATGTACTCACAAATACAAGCAAACAATACATTTTACTATACTGTTAAAACACAAAACTGCTAAATTGTTTGTGTTTTCTTTATCTTTCCATGATAAAATGAAGCAAAAACCTAGATAGTTTCTCATTTTTCCAATACTAGCATCTTGAATAGTTATGCGAGTACATGTTCACATCTCTTGTACAAAAGGTCCAAATTCTTTAAAACATAGATAGTCTTGTCACTGTTATGACCCTACAGGCAGTCTAAGGTAAGGTGGGGCCAATAACATATGGCTTAAATATGAAGTGTCAAATGTGAAAAGTCACCAAACTGTTAAACTAACAATTTGTTAACTTAGCAAATTGTTTCCTATTTTCTTCTGTCATTATGACTTTTCTGGTCTCCATGTTCCAAGTACTGGCGGTTAGTACTGCAGCTCTTTGGCACTGTACCAGATAAATGTTAAATTTCTGCTGAAGTCATAAAACTGTAAGCAGGAATTTGAGAAAAGTCATGGAAAAGCTGTAATTTAATTTGACTTGGAAAAGGAGTGAGAACTCTGGAAAACTCAATACCGGTTTTAACAAGCTCTTGTGCCCTCGGCCTCATCATTTCCTCTCAGGAGGAAAACCCAATGCCATTACTTTATAAGCTCAGGTGAAGGATGTTAGATGAGCCCTCAGAGGAGCGAGGGATCGAGTGAACACCAGTGTCGACTCCAGCAGCAGAACTTGCCCAGAAATCAACATGACGTGCTGCTTTATTCAAACCCGAAAATAAAGGCAAACAAGCTGTTTATAATCTATAGCAATAAACTACATAAAATAATCTTTCAAAACCATAACATTTAATTTGCTGGGCTTTAAGTTATGAACTACTCCATCTGTTACACATGACTGCTGATACAACTTCACCACTTCCCTCTGCTAGTTGGCTCGTTAGCATGCTAAAGGCTACATGGCTAACAAGAACTAAAAGAAAGGCACAACACCACGGCTCTGCTCCAAGCTTATAGCCAGACAAAGCAATTACTCACACACGTTATGTTCGCTATGCTCAAATGTCTTAAAAAACGTTTTAAATGTTTTCCAAATTTGCATGGCTAGCCAGTTAGCTCACCGAGGCTAACCTCAGTGCATTCCGTTTGAATAATCTACTCCTCACTGTTCTTTCCTCTCCTTTTGCCACGAGTGGCCACTTGTGTAACAGGTGTGACGCACATCCAAGTGGTGAGTCGGACAAGTTAAAAAAGAATAGAAATGAGGCCCTTTTGTGTGTAAGAAAACGATTTTACGTGGTTGCATGTAATTCGGAAATACATTTTCGAATATTTTAGCATTTCAGATACATAACATTTACAAGTTCTAGAGTGCATTAACTCCAATATAAGGGACATGATGCACCAGACAGGCCTTTACAACAATGTGAAGCTAAGACTGAGGAAGCACATCCTGCACTTCTGCATTCTTTGGTGGGGAATTTTTTTTTGACTCAATGAGCATCACAATGTTCTAGAAGAAAAATGTGTGCTAAATAAAGTGAAAGGCTTAGTGCTGGTTGAATGGTTTGGCCATAACGTTGTGCTTTTAACAGTCTTGCGCCTCTTTTGTTGAAGTACTGTGAGGAATATTAAACCAGTAGTGACAAAAGAAATTTCTGATTTTTCCTAAGAGCACTAATTATTGCATAAAACCTCAATCTCTTTAATGTGAAACAGTCTCATACTTTCAACTACCATGACCTAATAAAACAAGACAAACTTATTATGTCTGTCTTTTTCAGGGATACATCGCAGCTGAGGTTACTTGAAACCCAAATGTGTTAGAGCCAGTCTAATATTTGGCCCTAACAGACTTCAGAAGAGTTATAATTAGTATTTCAGGGTAACAGTGTAGTTAATTAACATAGTTGCACAATGTATTACATTTACATTTGATTTACATTCTTTGTCCACAGGTTCGTGTCTGCAGTTCTGACTTTATCCATTGGCTACAGGATCAAACAATGACCAAAATATGGAAAAAGTATAAATTATATTTTTGTTTTTATAAAACATGACCATGTAAGAAAACTCATCAAATTCAAAATCATATAAAATATCCTATAGATACCAATGTAGTACTGCTTGAAAGTTTACAACAGTGGTCATCAACTCTTTCGTGAAATGTTTGGTTCCTACCTGCACCTAACAGGCTACTGGTCCCTTTTACCTACCACGAACCCATCTGACCCAGCCAATCAAGAACTTCTGAAGAGGTTCATTAGCTGGAGCAGGTGTTGCAGACTGTTGATGGAACTAGACTCTGAAGGAAGGTCCAGGGTTGGTGACCACTGGTTTAAATCTGCACTTTTTACAGACTTTTTGTATTTATTTCAGTGAGTTAGAAGTGGTTCATTTAGCAAATAAAAATTAAACATACTTTATGTAATATTACAGTTAAAATTATAATGTACTTTTTTAATTGCCAGTGCTATGTACAATTCTAAGAGTTACCTAGTCAGATCAATTATGTAACGCTAGAATTGGAACTAAACTCTGCAGGATGTTGGAAAGAGTTTTGGCTCTTTACTAGCTTCTCTCACATCTCACCTCCCATTTGGTCTCCTCCAGTCTGGGCCCCAACTGTGTGTGTTCCCGTTCAAAGGAGGCGCAGCGCTCCTCGAGCCGCTCCCTCTCCTGAAGAAGCTGTGAGAAATCCTCCTGCAGCTTCTTCTTATCTTGCTGGAGCTGGAAGACTTGCAATTGCAGCAGCTGTTGTGCCCGCTGTGCTTTCTGCGATGCCTTCTGCATCTTAGTGGCACAACTCTGTCGCAGTTCTTCCATCTCCAACTCACTGCGTTTCTGCTTTTCCTCATATACCTGCCAACAGGAACAATGAGAGATTAAAATTCACCAATGATGACAGCACATGTAGTTATTTGGAACTTCTTCATAGTGACTCAGAGGTTCCTCAGGGCTCAGATCTAGGCCCTACAAAACTTTTTTTTTTTATGTTTTAAATTTTTTTTTTTCTTTTTTGACTTTTTGCCTGCACCTCATTTCAATGTTGCCTGAGGCATTTTTTAATCTCTCATTCCAGCCAAAAAAAGACTGTCACACTTTCATTTTCTACGGCCTTTCTGTACTCTTCACTGATGCTGTACTTTCACTGATATTTTTCTCCCCCATGAACTGTCAGAGAACAGTTAGGGCACCTTGTTTTTCTTTTTTTTTTTTCCTTGGAGCTCACAGAAAAATTATTTCACTAACCTGGCAAATCGCTACCTCATTTTCATCCAGGTTTTCTCTTAGATGCTGCAGCTCCAGCTCTCTCTCCCTCAGTTTTTCCTCCAAGTCTCTCACAATGGCCTCATAAGCCTCTATAGGTGGAGGGGAAGGTCCACCAGACCCCATGTCTGATATGCCTGGTTGACTACGGCCTCCCAGAGACCCAGTGCTTTTGCTAGAGGACGAACGTCCACTGTCTGAATTGGAGTGTCCATGGCTAAGTACAGGCTTGGTAGCTTCCACTTGGTTCAAGTTATATACAGGGCCACTGTATGTGGGAAGATTAGTTAAAGAGTTCCGGGCTGAGTCTGACATGGTGAAGGACTGGCTGAGCAGCCCATTTCGAGCTCCACTGTAGGAACTGCGTCGCTCTGTGGTTACAGGGGTGATGTCCTGATCTGGAGACAACAGGTTGAGGTTTCCCTGGCTCCCTGACAGGCCGCCACCTAGCCGTGGTGAGAGGTATTGCATGGCATTCCTGCTCTTTGGCACGACAGGCTTGAAGGCTGTCGGTCGGATAATGGCCTGCTGAATGTTCTGTGGAACATAAAATCAGTAATGAACGTGAAAAGGACTTTTGCGCATTTTGTTTTAGTCTGACATAAGCTACGTTCACATTACAAGCCTCATGCATCAAATCCGATTTTTTGCTCAAATCCGATCTCTCTGACATGATGGTTCGCACTCGTTTAGGTAAGTGACTCAAATCTGTCAATAATGTGAACAAACCGGCGTCCTGAAATGACCCACATGCGCACATGCTACTCAGTAACGTCACGTGAATGAAATCACATGCGTCCCGTGCATCATCAGCAAACAAGCTAACTTCGCTGAGAAGATAATTAACTCTGATCAGCTCTCAGCTTCTCATTATTAGAGCGAGACGAATGCGGAAATGGTGAGATGAGTTGCTTTTCCACTGTTTACAGGCTTTAACTTCTCTTTGGCGCTGCTGCCATGGTAACGCTGAATGATGGCGCATGTGCAGTGGAAAAAAAAAAACACATGGATTCCGATCTAAGCGTTCACATTAAGGTCGCATGGCTATGAATCGGATCCACATATGAAAGTGGCTCAGGTCGGATTTGAAAAGATCTGATTTGCGTGTCCACACAGCCCTGAAAACATCAGATCTCAGGCACATTAGGGCAAAAAAAAAAAAACGGATTTGTGCCACTTGGTAATGTGAATGAAGCCAAAGACTAAAACAGACTGTCTAGTTCAATAGATTTTGTTTAACAAATACAAAGATTTGACTTCTAAACCACTGAATGGACTGCTTCAGCAGCTTATATTTCCATGTGTAAAACAAACCAGGACAGGAGATACTGCACTCACCCTCTCCAACTGCCCGGACACAGGGACTAGCTTAGGAGGCCCATCCACTGGCATCTCCCCTCCGCCCCGTACTGAGTCCAACCAGTTATCATTCCAGTCAGTTATCAAGTCTTCATGCGAGTACGATCGCCCGCCAATTCCTTTCCCTCGACTTGCAATGGCCTTCCTCTTGCTCGACGGTGTTCGACTCCCAAGCAGACCTTCGTGTGAAGAGTCAGAGAGGAGCCGGCCCGAGCCTGGTGTACCCCGTCTGAGTTTAGCTGTGACCTCCAGGTTGGTCCGGCCATGGTATGCGGCATGGCTTGGTATGAGGCTGCTCACAGACCCCATGGCCCCAAGAGGGGTGGGTGAAACTGGAGAGGAACGATGTGGACGGGCCTCCAGGCCTGGAGCTTGGTGGTCAGTGGTGACTGGGAGAGACTGGACCAATGCCATCTCTGTGGCTTACTGTATGCCTGCAATCTGTGTACAAACAGATGGAAAGATGAGGTTGTCACTAATCAGATCACTAAAGTAGAGTCTGTCTTTTAACAACAGTAACCCCAGGGAGAAAATGGTCAGGTAGTGGCCACGCCATTAACCTCTTAAAAACTCTATGGGCCCATATCTCAAAACTCCAATTTACATCTTTGTTCCATAGTTGTTACTGAATACTTTATAGTAGTCATTGGATAAAAAAATAAAAGTCCCTTATACTTCTACTGTTAAATTTCAATTTATTTAACTGAACATTAACATATTTATTAAACACTGTCTTTCTTCTACTACTACTACTACTACTACTACTACTACTAAATTATTATTATTATTATTTTTATTATTATAAAATGACAGGACATTTTTTTACCTGCATTAGGTGACTAGACCACCCCAGTAAGTGCGCACGCCCAAGGATTTGAGTTATGAAGGGAAACGTGAATCAGATGCAACACCGGCAGCTTTATGGAGACTCGCACGAATCCTCACTTAATCTGTCCAACATCTTTATTACAAATTAAGCTACGATTAATTGAGTTATTTACAGTTGCATATCACAGCCTTGTGAGGTGGCGCTGGGGGTATTTAGCTCATCGTGTGAGTGTGGTTATCTCCTCACTCTCAGCTCCTGTGCTTTCATATTTATGAGTGCGGCATGACTAGGGCGTCAGCAGGGGTGGTAACGTTGTTTGACTGATTTGTATACTGTGACGCGTCATCGTACTGACCATGATAAAAATGATAATTTTACAGTTCACATTTTAAGCAAGACTGGTATATTTTATTAATCACAGAGCAGTGCACTTCAGCTGTTAATGAAAAAAAGGTCTTAGGGTGTAGTTACTCTTTAAATCCTACAAGAAGGATGATTATATTAAACAAAATGATCTTAAAGTTACAGACATGTCTTTTTTTTATTTCACTGACATTATTAGTCCTTCTCTGAAGACTTAGAATGGCCTGCGAGTTTTCCCACTGCTGTAAGCTTGCAAGTGATCCAAAAATGGAGTGGCATAATTACAAAAACCTAAAGGCAAATGCTGCTTATTCAAAGCAGCAGTCTGTCAGACAGTCTGTTAGAACATGCTTTAATACACAGTTCTAAAATAACAGGGCATATGCAGGAATATCAATGCTCAAGATAACAGCTGTTGAGTTGGACCACTAACACATATCTCTGAGAGGCATCTTTCACCAAGCACTGTTCAGCTCCTTTCGCAGTGCCAAAGTTTCTTCTGAGCTCTCTGTAGCCTAATTATGAGAGCACGTTACTGACGCTTCGTTTGTACTCACCCCTGGGGGGGATTAATGCTGTGGGATTAGATATATTAATACAGGGTTAATCTGCTTAGACACTTTAAAACAATATCAGTGTTGGAGCTAATTAAGGCTGCTTGCCCTAATTACAGCACCAGGACTTCAGTGAGATGAAAACATGCTGAAATGGCTTCATAGACAAGAACTCATTTTCCTCGGTCCAAATTTAGTCCTACCAATTGCCTCATACTAAAAATACTGAACTCAGGTTAGTTCTCCCATGAATATAGGGTTCAGTCTGTAAGCAGTTGGACAGTTACATAATATTTGTTTTGTCTCTGCACTCAAGCACGTTGGATTTGAGATGAAACCATGAGTATAGAATATAAATTTTCATTCAAGGGTATTTATATATCAACTGCATGTACCATTAAGAAATAACTAATCTTTTTAAATCTAGTTATTTTAGAGAATAAGTAAAAGGACATGATATAATATTAAGTAGAATTGTCATGTTTAGCACTTGGTTGCTTGTTCCTTACAGCTGATGACCGCCTAATGTCTGTGAATCACAGACATGAGCAGACAACTTCGGTCCTCTGTGTTGTCCATAGTTAAATATATGCTCAGTGTTGCTCAAGTCAGATGACTGACCTGGATACTCAAAGCTCTGTAGATGCTTAGCAGGATGTTTTGAGTCACTGTCATGTTCCAAAGTGAAGCACAATTGACTAAACTTTGAGGCCTCTGGTTGGATCTGAGCATTCTGAAGTGTCTGTTCATGACTAGGTCAGTGTCAGCAGTTTCAAAAGAGACAAGTGAACCAGTGCCCAGATGTGATTATATATGATGTGGCTTATTTTGAACAGTCTAGTTTCCTCATTCCATTACTCCAGTACATATTAACCTCCGGTACATATTAATCTCCTCTAGGATAGCTTGTGGTAGGAAAGCTAAGCCAACAACCGGAAGGTTGTGGGTTCCTATCCCAAGAACTGGGTATTCCAGCGGTGTGCTGCCCAAGGTGTTGTTGCTATGCTGCTTCCAGACTGGACACAGTTACGCAGCAAAATAACAAATTTCCCTCGTTGGATCCAGGGGCACCTTAACCTGCTTGTGGGCCCAGGCGCTACAGGTGATTGTGGGCCCAATGGGTCTGGTGAAAATCCATAAGATCAGTGTAACTCAGCGCAGCACAACTGAGTTCCCTCCTGACTGATGTGGACAAATGAAACCAGATTTAGTAAGCATGGAAAGAGGTAGTCACATGACTAACAATCAGCAGAACCTGAATGACTCACTGCATCCAAAAACTCAAAGCCGTTGTTTTTAATCAAGGTGCACACACACACACACACACACACACACACACACACACACACACACACACTGACTCAGTCCACAACTTCAAGCACCAAAATTCATCATCTTACCATTACTGCATTACCATTACTGCGTCACCGAAACAAGCAAGGTCTAACAATGTATAGTCTGTCATCTGAAACACAAGGGGAAAATGATCCCCCCCCCCATTAAAACACTACTAAGCCGTTCCAATGTAACAGTAAATAAACCTAGGCTACCGTTCTCTCTTCTCCTATTCTTGGCTGCAATAATGTAATTTCTTTGAGTGTCACTCTCGATCTACAACATTGCTGAAGAAGACAGCAGTCAGTGTAATGCTAACATGCCACTCTGGCTATGGGAGCCAACTAGAGGACTAGCTGATGGCACAGACCGTGAACCTATTATTAGCAGATTTTTTTTTAAATAAATATTTGCTTTTTTCAGGTACTTCTTTTTCTTTTAGAGCATTTTGTTTCTGAGCTCATACATTTTGCTATAGGTGTCTGGTACTTCCAAGTCAAACGCATCTGATATAGCTGCCAATCAACAACAGAGCTGATGTTTTGAAGAAATCCAGCCTATCAGCAGTATATATACGAATGACGTGTATATAAAGACAATCATTGTTGCGTGTGTATAGGTAGAGGGTAAAGAAATAAATGGATGGATGGATGGATGGATGGATGAATGGCAAATCAAACACCTTGAATTACTCTGTGCCCCTGGGCTTCAGCTCAGGTAAGCCCATGCATTAAATTGCCCCTGTTTAGATCAATAAAATTACTTCTTATTTATGGTCCCTTGAAATGAGGATATGCATTAAAAGGTTAAAGATTCCTACATGAATCATCCTGTAGATGTAATCACAATCAAATTAAAGCTGATCTTCTGCACTTTAACTTCACAGTCCCTGTTTAATTTCAGTTCCACTGTTCCAGAGATGGGCCAGTCCAGTTACAGGCTCCACCATATAAACATCCATAATTGATCACTAATACATAAAAAATGCAGTGAATGAAAGGTCAGTTATCATGACCAGAATAACGCTAAATGCTACTAGCATTCATTTACATTTAAGCATTATAATACATTCCAGTGCAGTATTCATTGAACTATGTCTCTCTCTGCCATTCAGAGTAAACAGGCCCAGCAGAGGTGAATGAGACAGATGGAGTGAGTTGGTGGGTGTTGGCGTCTGTCTCCCTGAGAAAGTTCAGCAGACATGATGCTCAGCGTTAGGTCCTTTCTCTCCCCCACCACTAAGAATGTGCAGCCATGGTGTCTAGTGACTGTTTTTCCCCTCTCACCAGCTGAGGAGGGCTGGGTCACAGAGTTCATTTAATAACTACTAACTGGCACAAAGTCAGCATGGAACTACTGTATAACTCCACGATCCTCAGCCCTTTTGGATGATACACTACACTAGCACAGTCCATGTGTTAGCACTGCTTCCAAACCAAATGCTCTTAACTATTTCTAATATGATGCAGACTTGAATCTGGTTGCCAACTTTGCCCTTTAGATATCTGAGACTGCTGACCTGACCTGACCTTGGCTAAATTATTAGTTCTTTTTAATGTTTAACTATCTCAGAGGCTACTCATTCACTGAAAGGATAATTCTATTGTTTTTTTCTTTTTAATTGGAGTGAAAGGATAGACAAAACTTAGTCATTAAAAAGATCCTTCTTAATATTTTTCTTTCATATCGTTCAAACACAGCTAATTAGAGCAGTCTCTGTTTCTTTTCCAAAACAGGACTCAACCCCTTAAATGGCCAGGGCCCACCAGCAGGTCCAATCAATCAATAGAGTTACATTGGCATGTAACAGGACAAAGCAATCACACAATAATCACCTACGATAACCTCTTGAACGAGTAGGCCCACCAACAGGTCAAGATTACTACTACTTATTCCTATAACATAAGAAAAACTGACAGTTTCCTTTTCTTTCCATGTAGTTATTTAATAACAGGCCTTAGGATGTAATAAGCCTGGAAGTGTAAGTGGTTAATAAATCTGAAATGTTTTCACAAAAGTAAATGATTTGTATTGATGTGCAAAACAAATAATTCTGTTTTACAGTCCTAAACTTGGACACTATACAGTGATTTTATGTCTTGACAACAGTTGAACTAGGGTTGATATGCAATATTTGGAAAGACTTGTATTTAAATGAAAACAGTACAAATTTCATTGTTTTTCTAAATATATTTGCTCATTCTAAAATTGATGCCTGCAACATTTTCAAAAGACAGCGGCAGTTTAAGACTGTAATGTTGTGAAATGTTGGGCAAGCTTGGGTATAAAAGGAGTATCCAGCATTTTTATGAGTTAAGGCTCCCTACTTTGCCTGGTAAAATGCATCAGTGAAAAATCCAACTGTTTAAGAATAATGTTCCTGCAAGGATTTTAGCATTTCAGCACTTACAGTGGAAAAAAAAACATGATGAAAGGATTCAGGGAATCCGGATAAATCTGTGTCTGTAGAGGAAAAAGCTATAAACCACAACTGAATGCCAATGACCTTCAATCCCTCAGACAGCACTTTATTAAAAACCATCCTGCTTCTGTGATGGATATCACCACTGGAGCTCAGGAATACTTTGACAAACTGTTGTCAATGAACACAGAGGAACCAACGTTCAGAAACACCGCCGACTTTCCTGGCCTCAAGCTCATCTGAAATGGATTGATATGCAAACGTGTTGTGGTCTGACAAAACAAACTTTTAGACTGTTTAAGGAAATAACAGACGTCATGTTCTCCAGGCCAAGGAAGAAAAACATTCTCCAGATTGTTACCTGTGAAAGCACCATTAACAATGAAAGAGGTATACACATCTTGGAACAACGTATGCTGCCTTCTAGATGATTCTGCTTTTAAAACTGGACCAATTGGTGTCCTTGGTCCCCAAATGATTATTATGTGTTGCTACAAGGAAAGTTGATAGAATAAAATGGTAAACATACTCTGGTCCTACCTTTTCCAGAACATGCTGCAGGCACCAAATTTGAAATGTGCATAAATTTATGGAGAAAAAAGGGCAAAGTTCATAAATTGTAATTGATGTGTGTCTTTCTGGTATATTTACTACTAAAAACAAAAAGTACCAAGACTGTAAAGTTCTGGTGACAGAAAAACAAATGCTCAAACAACTTCTTCACTCACACACACACACTCTCACACACAGTTGGTGCCATGAGTGGACCGGCAGGGACAGGCCTGTGTAAACAGAATGGTGTAGGAAGGCGAAACACCACACACTGACGCATTGACACAAGAAGAGATGTAACACTAAATCTGCCTTTATGCCCCCTTACAGTACATGCATAGTCACTTGTACCACTGCTATAAATATATATTTGCGCACACACCTACACACTCATGCTCTGCCTCAAGGACAGTTAACAGGGCCAGTGAAGGAGAGCACTGTTTCCCATACAGAACGTACACACACACCCAGACCTAGCAGACTCTCCCAGACCAGGGCAGCCTGTCCCAAGCCTAGAAGTTTTCCAGGACACAGAGGAAATCCCACTCCATTTCTCCACTGATACATCTCTCCCTATAACATTTCTCCTGTCCCTGACACTAAAAACATTTCAGTTAATTCAATGCTCTGGTTCTCCTCCTTTTGTTAAAGTGACGGTGTGGCCAAAAATGACATTTATACAGTTTCTCCTCTTACCCAAAATGCAGTAAGTGTCTGAGGTTTGCTTCTTTAGTTTTGCACTGGAGCTATGAGGCTAATGTATAGCCTATATGCCCAGTAGTCATCACTCACTCGTCTACAACTGTATGGCGTTGTTAAGTAATCTCAAATAGACTTGCTTTCAAGAAACAAAAGCAGAACTTTGTGAAGAGCTGCATAAGGCACAATGAACTGCAATTACAATGAACAGCTGGACATCTCCAGTCATTTTACCAGCTACTCTGTTGATCAAGTGGTCTTGGTTTTATTGGAAAAATGAGTTTTTCATCAGTATGTACCACATGACCGGCCTTCGAAGTCAAATGATGAAATCAGGTATGGTGGAGGGCAGAAAGGAATAGTCAAAGAAAGCAATCACATAAACTGTACAAATGTAATAAATGGTAACAGTAATGTGAATTTTAAACATGTGCGGTTACCCCATGTTATTTCTGATTCGTATGAGTTCAGGCACCAGTTAAACAGGCCAAAACCGACAGATGCCAGCTAGCTAATAAACACCCATTCACTCAGCCTCAATGTTAAGTTTATTTCTCACATAAATCACTTGAATGTCCAAGCTGGGTGAACAAAACAGAAAACTACCACCGCAATCGCCATTAAAAGCATGGATAGGCTTATTTCAATCAATGTTTACATTTAATTTGTGTGCTGTTTATATCTTTCTGCTTGCTGATTGGTGCAGCTGCTCTACATCTTTGTTTACATGTATTATTATTGTTGGTTTTTTTTTATACTTGCCAATGTTTACATGTTTATTGTGCTTGTATTGGCTTTTCAACTATTCTGTACAAGAGGAACTTTTAAAAGTAACATTTTATTCTCTTCTGGTTTGCGTTAAACTAAACTAAAAAAGTTCAATTTTTCCTTGCTGTAACATATCAGCCAAACCACAGCCGAGAAGCCGAACCAAACCGAACTGAACCAAACCGTAAAATAGGTGAAGCATTACACCTCTACCCTTTTGGAATCTATTTCTTTACTCTATACCTGTCCTGCTGTGTTTTTCCTGCAGTGCTTGCCTGCATTCGCACAATCAAGACTGGTGAGGACTTCCCTTCAACGAGATCTAATACCAACTATAAGCAGCCAGTTACATGCGTAATGCCATTCCTTGCTGAAACACTTATCCAGCTATAAATTTACAAATATACACACCCCCCCCTCAAAGGTTACATACCCCAGGTTGAGTCCTGCATAGCTGTCTCGGCTCCAAAGCCACCTTTTCCGTGGAGAAAGTGTGTTTAGCTCTGTCTAATCCAACACTCCAACACACAGAACGCACTTCTTAAATCTGCCTTTGGCTGACTGCCACCTTCACAGACTTTCCTCCCTGCCTCCGTCCTTCTCTCTCTCTCTCTCTCTCCCTCTCTCTCCCCATCCTCTGTGCTCCCTAAGGAAAAACTATTTCTCTGTTGCACGTGGTCTATGTAGCTCAGCTCAGCTTTGAACAGAGGCCTCATCCTTCCTCCTCTCTCTGTTTCCTTACCATAGTCTTTCAAATCCTTTCTTTTTCTTCTGCTCTTTAGCAGACAGATGTTTCAGAGATATGAGTATGAGTGTGTGTGTGTGAGCAATATGAACCATGCGAGGCAGAAACTGACTTAACGTCAGCAGCAACAAGGAAATGACGCACAGGTCTGGAATGCACTATGCACCTTTACACACACTCAGTCCTCTCCTTTTCGTCTTTTTGTTCATTTTATTATTCTTAACATGCTGTGCTGTGAATTCATCTTCACATCTTGACAGTCATCGAACATTCTGAACCCTTAGCCAACAGCCGTGCAGTGAAAACAACTAAAAGACAGGAGTTACACCGATCAGGCATAGCATTATGACCACCTCCTTGTTTCTACGCTCATTGTCCATTTTATCAGCTCCACTTACTATATAGGTGCACTTTGTAGTTCTACAGATACAGACTGTAGTCCATCTGTTTCTCTGCATACTTTGTTAGCCCCCTTTTACCCTGTTCTTCAGTGGTCAGGACCCCCATGGACCCTCACAGAGCAGGTACTATTGGGGTGGTGGATCATTCTCAGCACTGCAGTAACACTGACGTGGTGGAAGTGTGTTAGTGTGTGTTGCGCTGGTCTGAGTGGATCAGACACAGCAGTGCTGCTGGAGTTTTTAAACACCTCAGTGGCACTGCTGGACTGAGAATAGTCCACCAACCAAAAATATTCGGTCAACAGCGTCCTGTGGGCAGTGTCCTGTGACCACTGATGAAGGACTAGTGGATGACCAACACAAACTGTGCAGCAGCAGATGAGCTATCGTCACTGACTTTACATCTACAAGGTGGACTGACAAGGTAGGAATGTCTAGTAGAGTGGACAGTGAGTGGACACAGTGTTTAAAAACTCCAGCAGCACTGCTGTGTCTGATCCACTCAGACCAGCGCAACACACACTAACACACTTCCACCACGTCAGTGTTACTGCAGTGCTGAGAATGATCCACCACCCCAATAGTACCTGCTCTGTGAGGGTCCATGGGGGTCCTGACCACTGAAGAACAGGGTAAAAGGGGGCTAACAAAGTATGCAGAGAAACAGATGGACTACAGTCTGTATCTGTAGAACTACAAAGTGCACCTATATAGTAAGTGGAGCTGATAAAATGGACAATGAGTGTAGAAACAAGGAGGTGGTCATAACCACTGAGACCACTGAGGCCATTATGTATTGAGTTATTCATTTTTCATCCTGAACACACACGCACGCACTTTCTAAGCCGCTTATCCTTCTGGGTTGCGGGGAGAGCTGGAGCCTATCCCAGCGGTCATTGGGCAGAAGGTAGGATACACCCTGAACAGGTCACCAGTCTATCACAGAGCAGACAGACAGACAGACATATACATTCACACTCACAATCACACACACACACACACATACACATACACACACACACTTCATCCTGAACAACTAAACAGATCATATTTTTTAGTATGTGATGTGTCCACCCTTTACCTTTATTACAGCATCTGTTCTTTTCAGTCTTTTAAAGAAATCTGTAAGGATCTTTTTCAGTCTTTTAGTTCAGTCTTAGAAGTTGGTTGCATTTTCCGGTTCTCACGATCTGATTAATCTCAAACACATTCAGTGATGCTGAGGTCTGGACTCCAGTCCGAGAACACCAGCTGCTTCTTTGTTTGATCCGTTTCCTTTTCTCAGTGAGGGCTTCTATACATAGCGCTGAGTCATGTTCTCACAGTGCAAGGATGGACAGAAAAGCCTGTGGATTGTTTCAGATCTGAAGCAGCTTGATTTTCTCTTCTCTCTCAAAGATGAAAGATTTAAGTGCCGTTTATCCAACGGGGGCAGTTTTGGTGGTCGACCTCGTCTCGCACATTTGTTAGGAGTTCTGTTTTCTCTACATCTTTTAACAATACAGTTTTTTCACATATTTTCCTTTGACTTTCCCATTCCTTATGCAGTGTAAAGAATCTGTATCTGATCACTTGATGAATTCTACAGTTCTACAGTCCATCTGTTTGTCTGCATAATCTGTCAGCAACCCCTTTTACCCCATTATTCAATGGTCAGGACACCCACAAGACTACAGTCAAGCAGGCATTCATTCTAAACCTCCTTTTTTAAATATAAAAACACATATACAGTACACACACACACACACACACACACACACACACACACACACACACGCACGCACTCACACACACACACACACACACCACACACCCCACACACACACACACACAGGGTGCACCTGGTCAAACTACATGTTAAATAAGTTAACACATCCTCTACAGAGAACACACTTCTGCACATTTTAATACAGAATTACTTGTTTTATTTGCAGAATTGAACATAATGAGGAAAAAAAAGATTAAATGTGACAAAATATAACAAAATATGCACATAAATTGCATATAAAAAGTGCTCAGAACACAATTTATGGTTTTTGTTTTTTTTACAATACATTAAATTCAGTAAATAAACAGCAAATGTGCTCCAATGTGTTCTCTGTAGAGGAGGTATTAACTTATTTTCACTAAGCAAAATCAACAAAACGTCATTTGACTGGGACACCCAAACTTTTGCATATGACTGTAAGTACCTATATGTGATAAAAACATGCATCCTAACCCTAATCCTAATCCTCACCTTAATCTCAATGACCAGAAGGAAATGGTTTTGCTCTTTATTTTGAAAAAATGAAACATGGAGCACTTTAGAAAGAAAAATGTACAAACCCTAATACAAACCACCACATGTCTCTCTATCTACCTCAGTTCTCTCACAAATGCTTTCAAAAATGCAGTTCTTTATAGCACACAGGCTATACGGTAATATCTGTACTTATCCTCGTTATGCAGAATAACTGCTTTGAGGCTGTAATCAGTCATTTGTACTAAACTGTAAAACCAAGCAACTATTTACATCAAAGCAGCTCTAATGAGTCACGAGATTGTTTTCCATAAACTCCTTCGGAAGCACAGTAATCATGACCATGCACTGTGGATGTGTGTGCGCATGTGGATGTGCACGTGCATGTCGTGTGTGTGTGTGTGTGTGTGTGTGTGTGTGCACTCTGGGGTAAGTAGGGTAGAGTAAGTAGGCTAGAGCGCTGTTCTATGGGTTTCTCTCAGGTCCTGCTGTAAATGGGTCACTCCAGCCAGTGTTAATTTGGTCCTGCAGGCAAAACAGGGCTAAAGGTCCGAACAAGGCAGAACAGCCCGAAACAGCCAGCCACCGGAGGTAAGGGAAATGGGGGGAGGGGTTTGATTGGTGGGGGTGGGGAGTGTTTTCCCAAAGGATGATGGGATTTTATTAAGGCCAGGTTCATACAAGAATGCAACAGAGCTTTAAAGCCACACACTGAAAAACACAATGCACACCTCAACTACAGCACTTAAGTGATGTCATTTCCATCCACTGTGAATAATGCAATCCTGTTGATCATCACCTTCCTTACTGGCAGTATTTTGCCATGCATGGTAGCCTTGTAATGCCCTGGTTTTCATCTGTAGCCCTATAAACATGTTAGTGTGTTTCTGGTAAAGCTTCTGTTGCCATTACAGACTGGAGAGCACCCACTGCTTTTTTGTTTCCCAAACAAGTGTGGCGTAGGGGAGATATTTCATCAGGATTTGAATGTGATGAAAAGTTATTGTGTCCTCTTGGGGGGAAAAAAAGAAAACTCAGTTTGAAAGTGCAGACTCAAACTTGGCCATACAAGATGTAAAAGGAATTGACCGAGCATATAATTAATCATGTACTTCCATTCAAATAATACAGCAAAACAACACTAATAACGGTAGAATTCTTAAGGGTTAAAAATACTTTAACTTGGGTCGAATCCTAGTGCAGCTGGGACATCCATGAGAGTGTCCACACAGAGCACACTCTCTGGACCTTCCCTCTTTGCCCCTGGGAACTCCGATTAGCTGGGGTGGGTGGGGGTGGATAGCCAAGTTCATACTCCTCTGCTGTCTTAGTGGTTCAAGCTGAAGTTCCATCATGAGTGAAATAACTTTCAACAGCAAACATAAATAATGTCCAGGATTGAAGACTTGGTAAGTTAGTTCAGTGTTTTATATTGAATTTGTATAGATGTACTATTTTTGTCTTGTAATTATCTAGACCGATTACGTCAGTGGCGACGACATGAGTGGCTAAATGTGCATGACTAATCGAATGACTGAGGACGCACTCACATTCTTCACCTTGATGCCATTTAAAAGTCAAAAGTACAGCCAAATACATCAATGTTTCCCTTGATGTCAATGTTGTTTTCCATTAAAATATCTGTTACGAACTTGCTTCAGCCATAGGGGGGGGTTATGACATTAGAGGGCGGCTGTGTGGCAGCGTTCAGCCTTTAGCTAATGTTACTTATGCATGACATGACTTTTTTATAGCCCATCATATCCATTGTGAAGTAACTGACATTTCCCTCTGATTTGTGATAAGCCTCCAACTCTGAAGACTGTTCTCAAGTAATGCTGGGGGGGGTTAACAAAGCATATTTGCAGAAAAACGAATGCGAACATAAACAAATGCTCTACTATTAAACTTATTCAGGTGCACTGACAGCGATGTAGTACAATATTCCAATTCAGTATGTTAATTTAGTGCTTCATCATCATTCATCTTTGAGCAGCCCACTACTGCATTTCTTACATTAGCTTGGACAGCAATGGCCACATTTACCTTGCTTCCATGTCATTTATGCACATATTAATACGCGAAAAATTAGCCCTTAAATGCATAACCTCTGTCACCTGCCTCCTGTGACCTCACCCCTGTCCACCTGGTCCATTTTTTCAGATAACTGACAAACAAAATATCAAAATACTGTAAATGTTTTAACAGTTCTACATTAACATGCCATGTTAAAGATCAGTTTGTACTAAACGGCAGGCAGCCAAAGCTAAAGGTATGTATGAACAGTTGGCAAAGTAACCATGGATTTAAGGGATAATGGTGAAATTCACCTTGATTTGGAAAACGTAAAGCTGAAAAAAAGACACCAGTGAACTTATCTTAGAGCATCAGACACCTTGATAACTAACAGTGCCTGTAGCAGACTCACCTCTCTGTGTCAGTTAGTCCGAAGGCCCAGGTGAAGCAGGGGAAGCGGGCTGGCGGAGCAGCCCAGGGTTCACCACATCTGCTGGGCTTGTAAGCTCAGACTAGTCCCTCACTACAGGTGGGCCTGAAATAGAGCAGATGGATGTTACAAATGGCTTAGTTTTACAAGTGCTACTCATCAGGGTTGTGATCAGATTTGTTTAACCGCTTAAACGCAGAGAGTCTGTAAGTGGGCCCACATTTCAATTCCTCACTCTCATAACTACATA